AGGTGAATTTGGAACTTGAGGAGCTCAGTAGGGGTTGACAGTTCCAGGAACATGTAATTTTGAATAAAACATTTTCAGACCATGTTTGATACACCGTTTGCTATTGGAAGCATAAAGAAGGGGTCCAATCTGGGGGTTCAGAGAAGGCTTCCTGCAGAACACGCTATCCGAGCAATGTCCCAGGAGGGCGAGTTAGAGTCACATGGGCACGCCCAGGAGAAGGAAGAACTTGACCCAAATCACAGCGGTATCAGACACATGGTGACGAATGGTTGATTTTGAGAGGGAGAGGGGGGCTGCGATGAAGGTCTTATAGAGGAATCAGAGAGCCTTTGGAGGTTTTTAAGCAAGGAGTAGGGTGATCAGATTTATATTTTAGGAAGAGCTCTCAGGCTGCTGTGTAGAAAAATCTTGGCCGGGAGTGGTGGCTCACCCCTGTAATCCTGGCACTCTGGGAGGCCAAGGCGGGCGGATTGCTCGAGGTCAGGAGTTCGAAACCAGCCTGTGCAAGGGTGAGACCCCATCTCTAGTAAAAATAGAAAGAAATTAATTGGCCAACTAAAAATGTATATATAGAAAAAATGAGCCAGGCATGGTGGCACATGCCTGTAGTCCCAGCTACTCAGGAGGCTGAGGCAGGAGGATCGCTTGAGCCCAGGAGTTTAAGGCTGCTGTGAGCTAGGCTGATGCCACAGCACTCTAGCCCAGGCAACAGAGTGAGACTCTGTCTCAAAACAAAAATTAAGGCCGGGCGCGGTGGCTCACGCCTGTAATCCCAGCACTCTGGGAGGCCAAGGCGGGCGGATTGCTAGACGTCAGGAGTTCAAAACAAGCCTGAGCAAGAGCGAGACCCCGTCTCTACTATAAATAGAAAGAAATTAATTGGCCAACTAATATATATAGAAAAAATTAGCCGGGCATGCTGGCGCATGTCTATAGTCCCAGCTACTCGGGAGGCTGAGGCAGGAGGATCACTTGAGCCCAGGGGTGTGAGGTTGCTGTGAGCTAGGCTGACGCCACGGCACTCACTCTAGCCTGGGCAACAAAGCGAGACTCTGTCTCAAAAAAAAGAAAAGGAAAAGAAAAACAAGAGAAAGTCTTGAAAAGGGAAAGCTTAGGAGGAGGAGGAACTGTTAGAAGGCCATTGTAATAGCCAAGTGAGAGAAGATAAAGGCGTGAATTAGGGCAGCCACAGTTAGGGTAGGAAGAAGAACCAGCTTAGGGAAGTCTTGCAAGGAAAAGTTGGCAGGCCTGGGCAATTGGATATGGGGAGAAAGGGAAGAGGCAGGTGTGTAGGGAGGCTGTAAGGTTTCTGGCTGGGGCCGCTGGGCGGTGCCAATGACTGCCTGGGGAACCAGAAGCAAGGAGCAGGTTGTAGGGAGGAGAGAAGACGATTATTCCACTTCGGACATTTGGATTTTGAGGCATGCGTGGGTGTATGAACTTGCAGGAGAGAGCCGCATTTGGGATCATCCACGTGTGAGTAGTATGAGTAGGAAACAAGAATAGATGGGGTTTCCCAAGCAGAAAGGGCAGAGAATTCACAGTGGGCTGAGGATGGAATCCTGAGCCAAGAGCAACATGTCAGGGTGGTCAAAGGAAAAGGGAGACAAAGAAGGAGGTGGAGAAAGAACAAGGGGAAATAGCATCATGAAAGCCAGAGGGGAGAGGGCTGAAGGAGGAAGGGAACGGCTGCAGGGTCAGATGCGGTGGCAGGCAGAGAGAAACGCCTGCTGGGCCGGGCAGCCTGGGTGTCGCTGCAGGGGCCGATTTAGTGGGGTGTTGGGGATGGACGCCAGATGACAGTGAGTTAAAGAGAAAGTGGGAAGGGAGACACTTGATATATCGGCTGTCGTCTGCTGTCTCGGGAAGCTTGGCTGAGAAGGGAAGGAAGAACAGAGAGGACAAAAAGTCAAGGGCGGCCGGGCGCGGTGGCTCACGCCTGTAACCCTAGCACTCTGGGAGGCCAAGGCAGGAGGATCGCTTGAGGTCAGGAGTTCAAGACCAGCCTGAGCAAGAGCGAGACCCCCGTCTCTACTAAAAATAGAAAAAATAGCCAGGCATGGTGGTGCACATGCCTGTAGTCCCAGCTACTTCGGGAGGCTGAGGCAGGAGGATCGCTTGAGCCCAGGAGTTTGAAGTTGCTGTGAGCTAGACTGACGCCAGGGCACTCTAGCACGGGCGATACAGAGCAAGACTCTGTCTCGAAAGGAAAAAAGTCAAGGGCAGGTGTTTAGGGTTTTTTCCTTTCTTTTTAAGGGTGGAAGAGGTGTGTTTATGTGTTGGGCAGAGAAGCCACATTGAGGAGAAGAGGCTGAGGGTACAGGAGAGGGAAGGGAAATCCACGCAGCTCTGTCCCGGAGAAGATCAAGTGGATGGAGCGAGAGGGTTGTGTCTCAGCAGGGGGCGGAACCTGCCTTCCCCTGAGACCAGAATGAGGAAAGTGATGCTGATGCAGGCGTGGATAAGCTAGAGTTGGAAGAGAGGCAGGAAGTTGAGAGACAGTTTTTCCGATGGCCTCAGTTTTCCTCCTCACGATGGTGCCTGGCTAAGGCAAATCTTAATATGCTGCTTGTCCCAGCTCAGGGCTGAAAATACACACTCATTCCTTGGATGCGAGGCTTAAGCTCAGTCCCACTCTGAGCACTGATCGAGCGTCTCCTACCTGTAAGGCACTGGGACTCCTTTTCCGGGGCCGATTGCCCAGCTCCAGGAAGCCAGGCTCTGGGTATGCCCGTCTGCTCATGCTGCTCCTTTGCGTTTCAGATAGCAAGACTCCCTCATGCCTCTGCAGATAAAAAGTCATCCACAGGGAGCTGTGGAAAGGCAGAGAAAGTCAACAGGCAGAGAAATGAGCAAACAGCTGCTTCGGCTACCCCGAGGCTGGGCTTGGGCTATTCCCTCTTTGGGGACCTACTTCCTGAGAACGATGGTTGTCAGCCGTGGCCAGCCATGGCCCTTCAGCTGCACCCGGGCCTGGGAGGGCACCCCAGGCTAAGGGATATCTTTGTCCTAATTTATTTAGAATCTATAGACACTTGCCACTCAAGAATCTATCTGAACCATTTTCCTATTGATGTTTTCAACTGTTTTTATTTTTTTTATTTTTATTAATTTTTCGAGATAGAGTCTCGCTTTGTTGCCCAGGCAACAAAGTGCCATGTTGCCTTTGTTGTGCCATGGCGTCAGCCTAGCTCACAGCAACCTCAAACTCCTGGGCTCAAGCGATCCTCCTGCCTCAGCCTCCCGAGTAGCTGGGACTACAGGCATGTGCCACCATGCCCGGCTAATTTTTTTTATATATATTAGTTGGCCAATTAATTTCTTTGTATGTTTAGTAGAGACGGGGTCTCGCTCTTGCTCAGGCTGGTTTTGAACTCCTGACCTCGACCAATCTGCCGGCCTCGGCCTCCCAGAGTGTGTCCTAATTTACTTAGAATCTAAAGACACTTGCCACTCAAGAATCTATCTGAACCATTTTCCTATTGATGTTTTCAACTTTTTAATCGCAAGGAATAACGTTTCCTACGTTCGTTACCTGTTGGGTGAAGCAATACAGTGGGATAAACAATTTTTGATAATTTTATGAAATTGTGAGCGTCTTGGCTGTTGGTGCCAAACATCAGAAGTGACTACTTCACACTTAGCCTCACCCAGCCTAATCACAAACCCACATATCCGTGGTTCTCAGCTTCGGACATAGGCGACAATCTCCTGGGGCCGTTTTGAAAATCCCATTGTCCTACCGCAGACCAGTGAAATCAGAATCTCTTGAGAGCCTCTGGGCATCTGCACTTTTGAGACGTCCCCAGGGCTGAGAACCGCGGGGCCAGGCTGCCCTTGCTGTTGCAACCATTGGTTCTGTGCTTCTCACGTTTTCATGTCAGCCTTCTAGAAAAAGGGGTACCAATGCTAGGAGGGGCTGCTGGTAGCCAGAGGCAGCAGCCCTGGGGGTCCTGTCGGGCTTTCTGAGCTCTGGGGGGAAAAAACATCAGCATTTTGGCACACCTGTAATCCATCAGGCATCCGGGTCTCACCTGTGGCTAAGCTTTGTTTCATTGCACATATGGTGTATTTTGGGAGGTTCCCAGTGTAAGCTGAGTAATCATACGGCGTGTTTAACAGGGCTCCACTGTACTCTTCATTGACAGTTTTATTGGGGCATAGTTGACATACGATAAACTAATACATATTTAAAGTGTACAATTTGATAAGTTTTGACATGGGAGTGGACCAGCGAAGTCATTACCACAGTCAAGATGATGACCGTACTCATCATCCCAAAAGTTCCCTTATGCCCCTTTGTAATCCACCCCTCTTTCTACTCCTTCTCCATGTCACTGTGGATCAGTTTGCATTTTCCAGAATTTTATGTAAGTGGAATCATACAGACTCATACTCTTTTGTCTCTGGTGTCTTGTACTCAGCATAGCTGTTTTTTTTTTTTTTTTTTTTTTTGAGACAGAGTCTTACTTTGTTGGCGGGGCTAGAGTACTGTGGCGTCAGCCTCGCTCACAGCAACCTCAAACTCCTGGGCTCAAGTGATCCTCCTGCCTCAGCCTCCCAAGTAGCTGGGACTACAGGCACGTGCCACCATGCCCGGCTAATTTTTCCATATATTTTTAGTTGGCCAATTAATTTCTTTCTATTTATAGTAGAGACGAGGGTCTCGCTCAGGTTGGTTTCGAACTCCTGACCTCGAGCGATCCGCCCGCCTCGGCCTCCCAGAGTGCTAGGATTACAGGTGTGAGCCACCGTGCCCGGCCAGAGGACACCTGTATTAGATGGATGGGTAAAGTGATCTTGGTGTCTCTTTTGCCTTCCATCTGTTGTAAGTGCTAATAAAGAAACAGGCACTGGCTCCGATCATGTTACCTAAATCAGAGTGTGAATCCCTCTTTGTGGCCGAACGACTGATATTTCTACCTCTCCCTCGCAGGTGCCCAGACACCATGCCACAGCCCCCCGGACCTGACGTTGGCAGGAAGTAGAAGACTTCCTCGGCTCCTCTGTCCCCCGTCTTCACCATGTCTTCGACTCAGGGCAATGGGGAGCACTGGAAGTCCCTGGAGTCGGTGGGCATCAGCCGCAAAGAGCTGGCCATGGCCGAAGCCCTGCAGATGGAGTATGACGCTCTGTCCCGGCTCCGCCACGACAAGGAGGAGAGCAGAGCCAAGCAGAGCACGGGCCCCTCTCTCATCAGCTGGGATGAGCCTGCCTTGGACTTCTACAGCAAGCCCACAGGAAGGCGGGCCGACCTCAAGCTCTTACGCGGTCTCTCTGGCTCCGATCCTACCCTCAACTACAACTCGCTCTCCCCACAGGAAGGGCCGCCTGACCACTCTACCTCCCGGGGCCCCCAGCCTGGCCCAGATCCCTGGCCCAAAGGCTCCCTGCCTGGAGATTATCTCTACATTTTCGATGGTTCAGATGGGGGACCCTCCTTGTCCCCAGGACCCGGGGACACAGGTGACTCTCGCAAGAAACTGTCCCCACCTCCTCTGCCTCCCCGCGTCTCTATCTGGGACACTCCTCCCCTGCCTCCCAGAAAGGGGTCCCCCTCATCCTCTAAGATCTCCCAGCCCGAAGACATCAACACTTTTCCTCTGGGCGGATCGCCGCCAGACAAACTGCTCGGGCACGGGATCCTGGAAGAGGAGGAGTTGCCGGGAGGTGGGGGTCAGGGGCGCCTGCTGGGGTCTGTGGACTACGAGGGCATCAATGACGCCATCACGAGGCTCAACTTGAAGTCAACCTACGACGCAGAGATGGTGCGGGACGCCACCAGGAGCTGGAAGGAGGGCCGAGGGCCCTTGGACTTCGGCAAGGACACCTCTGGAAAGCCCGTGGCCCGGAGCAAGACCATGCCCCCGCAGGTGCCCCCCCGCACTTACGCCTCCCGCTATGCCAACCGGAAGAATGCGACACCTGGCAAGAACCCCGGATCTTCCCGCGGCCTCCGAGTCGAGGGCCTTGTATGTTTTGCTCCTCCTTCCCTCCCTCCTTCCTTTTCGCTTATTTCCTTCCTTCCTTCCTTCCTCTACAAACAAGGACTAGTCCCTTTTCTTTTTTTTTTTTAGACAGAGTCTCACTCTGTTGCCCAGGCTAGAGTGAGTGCCGTGGCGTCAGCCTGCTCAGCAGCAACCTCCAACTCCTGGCTCAGCGATCCTCCTGCCTCCAGTCTCCCCGAGTAGCTGGACTGCAGGCATGCGCCACCCTGCCCCGGCTCATTTTTCTATATCATATTAGTTGGCCAATTAATTTCTTTCTATTTTATAGTAGAGACGGGGTCTTGCTCTTGCTCAGGCTGGTTTCGAACTCCTGACATCTAGCAATCCGCCCGCCTCGGCCTCCCAGAGAGCTAGGATTACAGGCGTGAGCCACCGTGCCCGGCCCTAGTCCCTTTTCTTCTTTGCTGTTCTCAATCCAAATCTGCCAAGTCCCCACCCCTTCAGTCCGCTCCTCTTCTCTACTTCTGCCATCATAGACGGGCCCTGGTTGGACCCATTGGAGGCTGGGTTGGGGGGATGCCCGTAGAGGTACGGCTCCCTTTCTCTCTCTTCCATGTATTTTGGCCAAAACGGCCCCTCTGCGGGCAGGCATTTGGGGATCCTGGTTCCTAGCGTGTGCCCGCTTCCTGATGAAAGGGCTGAATCGGGAGTTAGGGGATTCATTATTGACTCTGTGGCTGAAAGGGCCTGTGGACTCGAGCAAGTTGCTTCCGCTTTCTGAGGCCCTGCTCGCCAAGAGTGCTGCGTGGCGGTGAAGATCTTTCACGACATTAGCCCACTAAGCTTGCGCTCCCCTGAAAAGGGGCCGGCGGGCCTGGTCCAGATCTCCACAACAACCCTTCCTGATAGTCCAAAGCCGCACACGAGAAGTGGCAGAGCGAGCGTTCGACCCTGGCCGCTCTCCTTCCAAAGCCTTGTCTCTCTTTCTCTCGCCCTCGGTCCTGTCTCTTTCCTCTCCCTCGGTTGTTGTTTTTTTTTGACCAGCAGTCTCATGCTCTGTCCGCATGGGCTAGAGTGCCGTGCGGTCAGCTAGCTCGACAGCAATCCCAAACTCCTGGGCTTCAGCGCACTTCTCTGCCTCAGCCCCTGAAGTAGCTGGGGACTACGAGGCGACCAGCACCATGCCCGGCTAATTTTTTCTATATATTTTTTAGTTGACCGATTAATTTCCTTCTATTTTTAGTAGAGACGGGGGTCTCGCTCTTGCTCAGGCTGGTTTCGAACTCCTGACCTCCAGCGATCCGCCCGCCTCGGCCTCCCAGAGCGTGCTAGGATTACAGGCCGTGGAGCCACCGCGCCCGCCACGTGAAAGTAGTTTACGAATAAAGATGTGCGATACGGCGATAATTTTCCTTTTATCAGTGCAGCGTGTGAAATAGCACAGCATCCTCACTGGAGCCCCCGGTGGTTCCAGGGCAGCTTTGGTCTTTTTTCTGGTTCGGAGGAGCATCAGCGGCATCCCCATGGGTGGGACCTGGAGGCCACTTTGTGTTTCCCCCTTGGCCCCTGGACACCGGGCTGCAGGGAGCCAGGGCGCAGCCCACGGCCGGCGACGTCTGTAGCAGCTCAGCATCCCGCTCGGTCCATCCCGGTTTCCTCCGCACCTATTGTTTAGGGGCTCCGGGGCTTTCCCAGCCTGTGTCCGGCCTCTGGGCTCCTTCCCAACTCTGAAGAGCTGCACAGTCCTTCCTTCCTCTGCCTCTGCTAAGAGAGTGCCCCAGAAGCAGAGTCGGCTCCTGAGCAAGCCACGTCCCTAGAGCTCAGGGCTTTTTAAAGGCTCTGCTGGGAGAGGTGGGGCCGGTCCCGCTATTTATAGGGCCTGGGAGATTCCTGTTCCCGGCTCCCAGCTTGCACAGAGCTGGGCCTGCTCACTGAGTCAGGGCACCCTGGTAGGTGGTCACCTCTGCCCTCCCGCTCCCTCTCTCTCCTGCCCCTCCCCCGCCCCCATCCCCCCAGTGCCATCGGAGTTCTGAGAAGGGAGCTCAGTGCAGCGTCTCCTTGAAGAAGTGACGTGACGGGAGCGCAAAGCAAAAGGCTCTTGCCTGTTCGCCCTTAGTGGGGAAATGCGGCCTGGGTCCGCCCCTCCTCGGCTTGGTGCAGGGACACAGCCTGCCGGGAGCCGGGGCCCCTCGGGCCCTCGGCCTGTCCCCCCGCCCCGCCTTCATCGGGCGGCGGGACGGAGGGACCCTCCTTCTCCCAGGCCTGTGGAGCTAGTTCTGGAAACGGCTGGCTCCAGATGCCAGCCCGGTCCCCCCGCTGCCAGCCTCTGCCCCACAGACTCCCCCAGCCAGCATCGGGCCATGCCACCAGGGCCTGCCAGCCGGGCAAACGTAAGTGGCTTTTGTTTTCTTGCGGTGCCAGTGAGTGGTACTAAAAGGGCACGAAAAAGGCCTTCAGTAGCCACTCTGTTCTCTCCTTCTCCCTCTCTCGCTCTCTTGCCTTCTCCCCCATCTGTCTCTGTCTCACTTTCTCTCTCCCCCACCACCTCTCTCTCTCTCTCTCTCTCTCTCTCTCTCTCTCTCTCTCTCTCTCTCTCTCTCTCTCTCTCTCTCTCTCTCTCTCGTTAATCGCTGACAGTGGTACTATTGTTTTGACTGGGACACAGGCACGAACTTGGCAGAGCCAGGGCCTCACATGCCAACTGCCCCCACTGCTGCCCTCCCTCCCCTGTGCGCCCCGCCCCCCACCGCCCTGCACTCCCAGGGGAGCGAGGCTAAGGAGAGAGGGTCACCCAGAGGAGACCCTGGGGATGTTCAAGTGGAAAGCTCGGTTCCTGCTGCTGCCGGTCCGCAGGGGCAGGGACGCCATGGGAGTAGCCAGCGGGTAGGAGGAGAGACACGAGGTGTTGCAAGCGCGCGGCTCAGGCCAGAGCCCGTGTGCACAGGCCGGGGCTGCAGGCTCCCCCGGAAGCAGCTGTTGGGACTGGATGCAGGCTGGGACTCCGTCTGAGCAGAAGCTCTGGCCCCGTGTGGCCTCCCCAGCTGCCTGTCAGGCAGAAACCTGTCATGCACCAGCTCACCCTCCCCCTTACTTCCTCCTCCCCAGGACCGGGCTGCAGGCCCTGTGCAGGGCTTCTTTAGACCCCTCCTGGGTGACCGGAGGCAGATCTGGGTGGGAGACAGCTTGGGACCTGGTCTGAGAATTCCATGCCACATGCATGTTCCAGGAAAGGAAGTGGGGCCGAGGCCAGCTCCCCGACATTTCAGCTATTCACAACAGGCAGACCTGGGAGCCAGGAGCAGCCAAGCCTTCTATCAGGTTCTTTCCTGCCCAGGCCACTGCTTTGACGCTTTCTTCCTCAAATAGCGAGTACCGAGAAGGCACATGTGTCTGGGTCACTCCTCCATCTAAGGGCTCTTGGTCTCTCTCTGCTTGTAAGTCCCTGGGGCTTATTGTGGATGTTGAGGCTTTTGCCCAGGGCCAGCCTTCCCTGGGGACCATCTGGGCAGCCCGCCTGCCCTAGCTGCAGCAGCGGGGCTGGGAAACACAGCTGCCTGCCCGGCCCCTCTGGGAACACCCCTCAGCAAGGCCTTGTGCGGGAGGGGCCGGCCCGGCGCCGCTCTGCACTCTCTGACCAGCGAGCTCAGCAGACCCTTGGAGGGGCTTCGGCCACACTCTTGTGCATCCTGCTCACGCTTCCGTGCTCAGGGCTCCAGCTCCTTTTCCACCTTGGCTCTTGGTCTCCTGGGATTAGCAGATAAAAGTATTCCTGGCTACCCCATGTTTTCTTGTGCCCTTTTTGCTGACTGTTGAGCGAATGGAAGGTCTTTCCACCCAGCGTTTAAGAGGCTAGCCCTGGGCGGGGCGCGGTGGCTCACGCCTGTAATCCTAGCACTCTGGGAGGCCCGAGGCGGGCGGATGGCTCGAGGTCAGGAGTTCGAAACCAGCCTGAGCAAGAGCGAGACCCCGTCTCTACTGTAAATAGAAAGAAATTAATTGGCCAACTAATATATATAGAAAAAATCAGCCAGGTATGGTGGCGCATGCCTGTAGTCCCAGATACTCGGGAGGCTGAGGCAGGAGGATTGCTTGAGCCCAGGAGTTTGAGGTTGCTTTGAGCGAGGCTGATGCCACGGCACTCACTCTAGCCTGGGCATCAAAGCAAGACTGTGTCTCAAAAAAAAAAAAAAAAAAAAAGGAGAGAGGCTAGCTCTGGGAGTGCCTGTGGGGAGGGGACGCAGGGAAAGGCCCTGAGTCGGCTGCTCTTCTCTTCAAGGTGGGCTCCCGGCCCCGCGCCGTCACCAACGGCCACGAGTTGTTTGAGGTCTCAGAGGAGAGAGATGAGGAGGTTGCTGCGTTTTGCCACATGCTGGATATGTAAGAGTTAAAGAAAAGAATGGGGCAGGGGCGCTGGGAGGGCTGTGGGGGCTGGGAGGAGGGCCACCCATTTCAGAACTTAGTAGGCAAGAAGCGCTGTGTCAAATAAGTCTCAATCCATAGCTACGGGATGCTTCCTACAAGTGTCTGCAGGTTTTTTTTTGAAACCTTAGAAGTTTCACATATTTAACAACATTCATGAGACCTTGGTTGAAGAACAGTGACATTGTCCCGACCCCTTTAGACTCTGGCCCTTAGTTGCCGTTAGGAACAAATGAACCCAAGCTGGAGATAAGAGTGTTATCTGGAACTAAAAGAGAAAGGAAACGGATTCATAAAAATTTCCAATTAAACTTAGCATGGAAAGCTGTGTCGTTTTAAAACTATCCCCCGCTGTTCAACTGTGGGAAACATTCTGTAACCGTAGCAGATGTGTCAGGAGCAGGTTTCCCAGGGCTGCATGCCCAATGCCCCCCGTCCTGCTGGCCTGCAGACCCCGAGGGCTGGGCTGGGTGGGGACAGAGGGGCCTTGAGCCGCAGGGCACGAGGGTCCCAGCAGGCCTCTGCCGGCGGCTACTGTCTTCTGAAGACACAGGGAGGGCGTTCTTCCCTCTCTTCCCGTGCAGCCTTCGGTCTGGCTCTGACATCCAAGACTACTCTGTCACCGGGTATGTCTGGAGTGCCGTCACCCCTAGCCCAGAGCACCTGGGGGATGAGGTCAACCTGAAGGTGACTGTGTTGTGTGACAGCCTTCGAGAGCCACTCACTTTTACCTGCAACTGTAAGTTCCTCGGGGGGCGGAGAGCATCCCTTGAGGGGGCGTGGGGGTGACCGTGTTCTGGACTGTGATGTCCTTTGGTCTCTACTCCCACCTCACCTTGTGGCCCAGATGAAGGGCGGTGGGAAAGCTCTGTTGGGGGACTGGCTCTCAGGCCAGCGTTCTATGCACGGTCACCTTCCCCAACCCCAGACTACCGGCCTGCCTCATCCAGCTGGCGGTGGTGCTGGCGCCGGGGTGACGGGGTGAGGACGCTGTGCCCTGCCTGGCCGGCGCCCACCCTTGTTGCCCCCTCACCTCCCCGCAGGCTCCTCCACCGTAGACTTGCTCATCTACCAGACCCTGTGCTACACCCACGATGACCTGAGGGCCATAGACGTGGGCGACTTTGTGCTCAAGCCCTGTGGGCTGGAGGAGTTCCTGCAGAAGTGAGTGACTTGGTGGGGACAGGGCGGTGGGAGGCAGCGCCCGCCTTCTGGGCGGTCGGATGGTGGGGTGGTGCTGGGCTCCGGGCTGCAAGCTCTGCCCCAGCCCCACGGTCAGGATCCCTGCTTTCTGGGCACACTCTCAGCCACGTTGCACTTTCCCCAGGAGCCTGTCTTCCAGCGGGGTTGGCTGGCGTCCCGAGCCAGACCGGCTGTGGAAAGAGCTTGGAGCTGGGATTAGGCAGAGGCTGGGTCATATGTGCTTTCAGACTCCGGCTTGTGGCAAGATGTGTGTATTCGGGGGCAGGGATGGGGTCTGGGTGACTGTGTAGCGTTGTATCTCCTGCTCTCGACTGCGCGTGGTGGGGGCTGGATCCTGGGGGAGAGATGACAGTTGCTGTCTCTCCCCTTCTCCTGCCAACGTGCCTGTTCCCCTGCTGGCTCTGGAAGGCCTGCCTCCAGCCCCTCTCCGTCCAGTGCCCTCTGTGCAAAGCAGCCTCCCTGGAGAGTCTGATGTGGACCAGCTGAGGCCACCCCTCTCCCCTTCCCTGGGCTCTCTGGAGGGCTGGGGTGGAGGCCAGGCAGGGGCGGGGCCACCAGCCCTCAGGTGGGACAGCTGAGTGGCAGCACAGAGATGAGGAGATCTGCTTTCCTCCCCGAGCCTCAGGCCGGCTCCTGCCCGCCGCCTGTGGCACTGGGAGGAAGCGGACGCAGGGATGGTTGAGCCGCGGCCGGAGCACAGCGTAGGCAGTCAGGACTGACGAGTCATTTCTTGGCTGATTTCTCCAACCTTGGGGATACGGTGGGGCCCACTCTGGCCTCTGTGTCCTCCTCTGGAAGCTCAGGAAGGGGAAAGGGGCAGGGCCCAGGGGCACCTTTCATACGTGCCCCAGGCGATACTTGCTCGGGCGCACTCCTTCAGAGCGCCAGGCAGCCTGCCGCTCTCAGAAGGGAACAAGGGACCTCAGAAGGGAACAAGGGACGCAGTGGGGAAGGCGGAGCCCCCCCTCTCAGTGGGTTTGGATTGTGGCTTGCTGCTTACTAGCTGTGAAGCCTGCCCCTCAGTGTCCTCTGCAAGATGCGGCGAGGGTTAGATGTGGGAATGACCCAGGGAGCAATGGGCGACCGCTAGCAGGGAAGGTCGCCCACTCCGACTTGAATGCACGCAGAGGAAGGCCTTCCAGGGAGGAGGTCAAGCAAGCCCCCAGGGGACCTGTGTTCAGGACTCCAGGTCCAGAAGGTTCCCTCCCGCCCAACAGAAATGCACAGTGCAGGTTCCTGGCCCCTCCTCAAGCCTCTGGCGGGTGACAACTGCCCTAGGGCTTGGATGGAAAGGACCCTGGGTGGGGGGGGTGTCCAGAAAACTGCGAGTTCCCAAGGAAGCCCTCAGATTGGCAGGAGGGGCTGATATTGCAGGGGGGGTGTTGGTCCAGGATGCTGGCTGCTCTCAGATAAGAACCTTGAGACTGTCCCTGGGGAGGGCTGGGTTTCCTGCCACCTCCCCCACGGCAGCCACACTCTTCCTTCCTTCCAGACCCTCCCACCAGGCCCAGCCCCGCAGCCCAGGCCCTCCGCTGGGTTTTGGGTGTACTTCATTCTTAGCAGGTTGGGGCCTAGATGGAAGGCCTCACCCCCTTGGGGTGTAGAGAACCCCCGTAAGTCCTCGACTCAGGCCCTGCATCTCCCCCGGCTTCTGCGCATGCCCCTCCCCTCTGCTCCTTCCTCTCCCCTCCATTTCTGGCCTAGAGCCCCAGCTCTGCCGCGGAAGGAAGTCCCTTTCCGGCTTCTGTTTCCCAGCTGCTGGGACCCGGTCCAGGCCTGCGGGGCTGGCCTGGAGGTGCTTCTCACTCTGCCCCTTCTCGTGGGTTTCCTTTCTGGTGAAGGTGTGATTTGGAGGAGAGGAAGAGGTTGGATTGCAAAGAGACTCCCTAGGCCTCCTTCTTTGAAACTAGGGGGGCGGGGCTCACCTGTGGGCGCTCAAGCAGTGGGAATGGTATGCAGGTGGGTGTTTTTCTGGAAGTCTAGAAGTTTGTGTGTTTATTCACCATCGGGCAGGACCCACAAAAGGAAGATAGAAATGGAATTTCGATGGGGATGACAGGTCTGGGATCTCGGTGGGTTTGCTCTGGTTGATCCCAGCACCCTAGGGGGTCACGTGGGAAGAAGGTGTCACTCACTGGGCTCCCACACTGGAGCCTGAGCGCAGGCTGGCTCCTAGCATGTCTCCTTCTGGTTGTCCAAAGCCAAGAGAATGGGGCTTAAATAACTGCCCCTTGAGGTGTCCCTCTGTTCCTCCCACTCTCCCCCACAGTTCCTATTCCTGGAGTGAATGAGTGATAACAACACAGGTAATAAATACCTGGAGAGTCAATATTTGGACAGACCAAGGGTTAAGTGTATTAGGTGGCTTTTGTTTAGACAGACCTCCTGTCCCCAAGCTCTACCATGACATGTTCCAGCAGCCAAGGTGGGGGTACCACACAGGTACCACCCCACACTTCCACCTTCTTCCTGTTTCTCTCCTCCCGAGCCTCAGGGATGCATCTGCCTTCCCACCGAGGCCCTAGGGTGCTAATGGTCTTCTCCCCCCACCCCGCCAGCAAGCACGCCCTGGGCAGCCATGAGTACATTCAGTACTGCCGGAAGTTCGACGTTGACATCCGGCTACAGCTGATGGAGCAGAAGGCTGTTCGCAGCGACCTGGCCAGGACGGTTCGTGTCGGGGGTGGTTGATGGTCGCACAGAGCTGGGGAGGTGGGATGGGCAGAGGGCGACATGGGACACATTAGGTGGGAGTGTTGGGCAGGAGGGAAAAGGGTCCCGCCCGTCTCTGAATAGGGCACTCCTTACACAGGCGAATGATGACCAGAGCCCCTCCACCCTCAACTACCTCGTGCATCTCCAAGAGAGGCCAGTCAAGCAGACCATCAGCAGGTGAGAGGCGCCAGCGGACTCACTCGCTCGCTCGCCTGCCTTTCTGCCGGGGCTCAGGGATTCTCGCAGGTGTCAGGGGGTGGGGCCACGAGGCTTGTCAGGGAAGATCAGTACCCCAGGGCATGCCTCCTGTCTTCCCTCTGGTACTTTGCCGTCACTCTCTGGGCCAGACGTAGGGGAGGAGAACGACTCTCCCTCCTTCAGTCTCCATGGCAGGTGGAAAGAGTGGGAACCCCTGCCAATCAGAGTCTGATCCCTGAGCTGAGAAGAGGGAGGGAGAAAACGGGGCTTCCAGGACCCTGGGTCTTTCGTGACCTCGCCTGTGATTTTTCCCTGCCCCCGACTCCCCAGGCAGGCCCTGAGTCTTCTGTTCGACACGTACCACAACGAGGTGGACACCTTCCTGCTGGCTGATGTGAGTACAAATCCAGGGGCTCCTCCCAGTCCTCCTGGGATCAGCCCGCGCCATGCGGCATCTGGGCAGACACTGAGAATCTGTGAGCCCAGCACTTCTCTCCATCGCGCGGCTCACGGGCAAACCTAGGCTGCTGGGTATCGGGCGGTGGCAGGTGTGTGCTCCTCTGTAGAAGAAGGAACCGTGCCCTAGTCCCCATCTCTAGGATGTCCCCAAAGCTGGGGGACCTAGAGTTGTCGCCCCAGCTACTGCCCTTGATGTGCGTTGGCGTGTGCGTCCTATGAGCCGTGCTCAGGGGCCTCTGGTTTGAGAGGTCCTGTCGTGCTGGTGTCACAGGTAGAAAACCAGGGCGAGGGGGAGGGCTCCAAATGTGGGGAGGGGCCAGAGCTCTCCCCACGTGAACTCATGTGGGGTCTTGAGCCTCAAAACCATGAGAATCCATATTTGCCCCAAATGTCATGAAGCTAAAGAAAATCTGACAGCTTCAAAAACAGCTCCTGTCTCATAGATCCAGTTAATAGTAATTGTAGACTATTCCCTCTTGGGGCATTCAGCACTGTGTCTGGTTCAGTTACCGTGTTTCCCCGTAAATAAGATCTACCCATAAAATAAGTCCTAGCAGGATTTCTAAGCATTTGCGCAATAGAAGCCCCACCCCGAAAATAAGACCTAGTGACGGGCGTGGCTGCGCAGCACATCTGCACAACCCACGCATTTCATTGTGGAGCTGGAAGGAACACGAGCAGTGCTTCTCCTCTGCCCCGTGAGAGCTCTATTGCTCAACACGAGAGATTGGGGCCAGTGGTTCTAAAGGAAATAGAGTCGCAAGACATTCAGGGTAGAATTCGGGGTTTGGAGAGTGATGATGATGTTCCAGAAGAAGATGACTTAACTATGTTTGAATAAATGTAGATTGTTGTACCGTAATTAAAAAAAATACCACATCCCCTGAAAATAAGCCTTAGGGTGTCTTCTTGAGGAAAAATAAATATAAGATCCTGTCTTATTTTCGGGGAAACACGGTAGTTCCTCACTGCCAGAACCCCTTCGCTGGCAGCCTCTGCTTGAGCACTCACAGGGATGAGGGGCAGCTCTCTGAACACCTGCACCGAGCTAGTCTGGCCCTTTGCTAGTGGCTGGTGGGGGCTGAGCAGTGCAAGAATTGTCTTAGCCTTTGGTGAGTTTGTGTTCTTGTTAGAAAAATGGAATCGTAACATAAAGCTATTAGGAGACAGAACAGGACAGTAATCAATGAATGCAGGGCTTCTGGGGTGTGGTAGAGAGGGGGACTGGCCAGAGACGGCTCTGTGAAGGAGGCAGGATTTTTAGCTGGTCCATGATTTAAATTTACATAGGTAGCCAGGGCCGGACAGGCGAGGGAGCTCCAAGGGAGAAAACTGCAGGAGCCCAAGTGCGGAGAGGAGGGGATGGGCGTGGTATGTCTACGCAACTGAGATGAGATGTGTCTGGAAACTCCGTGGTAGAAGTTATGAGACATAGGTCTGGGTGGGCAAGTGGGGCCTCAGTATGGTCTCTTTGACCTCCTTGCTACTCCCTGTGGGTCGATTTTCTTAAAACTGCAGGTCCGTGGGGGAGATTGTATATGCATTTATATAGCATAAGTGAACCGTAGCTGACAGAGGCTGGGAACGAGAGGAGGAATGGCTGAAGTAGTCGGGGAGCGTGGGCATGGCCCATTTATTTCAGCGGGAGAGATTGTTCTCGGATGCTGGATATTCAAAAATAAATTGTGGATTCCGCTGGCTGCCCTGAGGGTTATGAGCCCTTGCTCTCCCTGACCCGTTCCTTTAAAGACAAGGGGGTTGGAGGCCCAGCGCATGAGAGCAGAGCCTGCCAGCCTCCCTGTGCCGCCTCCCACAGGGGGACTTCCCACTGAAGGCTGACAGGGTTGTCCAGTCTGTCAAGGCCATCTGCAACGCCCTGGCCGCCGTGGAAACCCCTGAGATCACCAGCGCTCTCAACCAACTGCCCCCCTGCCCATCCCGCATGCAGCCTAAAATTCAGAAGGTAAAGGGGCCCGGGGCAGTAGCGTGGGGCAGGAGGAGAGGAAAATGCTCACAGGTAATGGAATTCCCAGGTTTTGGGGTGAGTAGGTGTGCCCCCTCCACCTCCATCCTTCATGTGTAAGTGGTTCAGCCACAAGAGTTCTTGGAAAACGGATGCAGAAGGTGTCCCCTCTTTCTGAGATTGAGGGTGGGGTAGAGTCTGCCCCTTGGAACTGGTTGCTGGGAGCCCAGGCCAGTATTTATTCAGCATCCCCATAGTGTCACCTGATAGTTGGCGTACACATCAGGGTGCAGAACCAAACCAGGAAGAACCTCTCCTCCACAGTGGGGGCTATGTGATCTGCAGACGGGGCCAGCACCGCGGGCTCTGTCATCCGCAGCGGAGCGGCCGGAGGCCTGGGATGTCTCATCTGGGTGGACACCATGATTCCTACCCTCCGTCAGCTCGCTCTGCCCATCGCAGAGGCCGGGGATAAACCATGACTCTGTCCTCCCTGGGGGATCTCTGCTCCTCGCATTTCAGCCCAGTCTGGGTCACACGAGCCAGCGCAGCTGTGAAAAGCCCTTCGTCCAGCTGTGTGGAGAAAGGCCATGGCCCTGAAGCCCCCTCCCTCTGCTTCTCCCCCACAGGATCCCAGCGTCCTGGCTGTGAGGGAAAACCGAGGTAAGGGAACCACTTACTCTTCGTCTCTACCCAGTGGGCAGTTGTGGACGGCGGGCTCTGCCCAGATTCCTCTTTCTCCCCGGCCCCCGGATTACGTGTCGGAGTTCAGCGCTGTGTGTGTGTGTGTGTGTGTGTGTGTGTGTGTGTGTGTGTGTGTGCTCGCGCGCGCACGTTTTCCTATATGAGGTGTGGACACAGCTGGAGAGCACATTTCTTTCCATGGAGTGTTTTCTCGGGATTTTTACTAGCCAGTCCTCGTGGTGTCCCTAGAGATGGTGACGAGGTGGTGGGCGTGTGTGTGCCGGGAAGGGCTAGCCCCGCCGACCGGAGGGAAAGCTCCCACTTGGGTGGGTGGTGTTTGTCCTCCCCGGCTCGCAGCCCCTGCGTTTCCAGAATGGGCCTTGGGAGAGGGGGAGACAGAACTTTCCGCCAGGATTTCTCTAGGATTCCCCTGTTGAGCCCTTTGAGCAGCACTTTGCCCTAAAACCTGTTATCACTGGCTTCTCACAGTGATTCCCAGTCTTTTGGATTTTCCGGACCTATAACATGTCCCCAGAAATATTTTGGGGACCAATAGAGAACCGCCGGCTCTTTACTTGGCCAATGACTTTTTTGAAGTAACTGACAATTATTATTACCGTGGTTTCCTAAAAGAGAGGGCATCTTAATACTAAATAAATAGTAACATGTAAAAATAGGGACCATGTTTAAAATGGAATAACGATCCTTTTATGAAAAGCTCGTGACACGCATCTGCATTTTTCTCATTTCACCTCAGATGGGTAAGCTTTGTCACAGCTATTTACAGACCAGCTGGCGTCTGGGGACCACTGTCCCCGGCCATCCCATTCCACCCAGTGCCCTGCATGGCAACAAGGCGGGGCTTGTGCAGGCCTCGCCAGCTTCCCCTCTGACCCTTCCGTTCACAGAGAAGGTCGTGGAAGCACTGACTGCTGCCATCCTGGACCTGGTGGAGCTGTACTGCAGCACGTTCAACGCCGACTTCCAGACGGCCGTGCCCGGGAGCCGCAAGCACGACCTGGTCCAGGAGGCCTGCCATTTCTCCGGGGCCCTGGCCTTCACGGTCTATGCCACCCACCGCATTCCCATCACCTGGGTGACCAGGTGAGCCCGGGGCTGAGCAGCCTCTAGGGATCCAGCTGAGTTTGACTGGGGCCTCTTCCCATCTGCACGTGACCCCACTGTCCTACCACGTCTTGGGCTGTGTTGTGGGATTGTGGCCCAACAGGCTGGGAGCCCGGCGCCTGAGGGAGACCTGGGCTGGGGCGCCCCAGAGGAGAGAGAAGGTCCCCAGGAGATGGAGAGGATCCTGCTATTCCCTTTCGCTGCCGGCTGCCTCATCCCTGCCCCCTCCAGCTCCAAGGCCAGCTGAGGGAGGCCGGGGACAGATGGCCGGTTCCCAGATAGAGTGCATGCCCCACGGCTGACGGCAGGGGTGGGGGAGGGGAGGGGGATGACCCTTTTGTCTTGGGTTCCCTAGGCCTGCAGGGGTGGGTGGAGGAGGACGTCTATTTGGTAATCCTCTGCTCCTCTGCTGGGTCCTCACATCCAGGGCCTGGGGGAATAGGCACTGGGCCCCACCCCCCTCCCCTGCCGCCCCTCCCCCCACCCCTCCCTTCCCCTTCTCTCTTTGTTCCTCACTTAATGTATTCCTCTGGGCGATTGGCAGAGAACAAAGGAGGCAGCCTGGGAAACCGGGGCCTTCTCTGACCTCTTCTGTCAGGCACCTGTCATGAGCCACGGGGACCCCCATGTGTTGGCATTCATGTCGGCATATGTCGTCTTCCTCCCCCACCCTTGTCGCCTGCGCGTGCGCGGATAGGGACGTAAACCGCACGGGGATACACGCGCGTGGACACCTGATGGCCCGAGCTTTCCGTGAGGAGGGGGCTGGATGGCCGGTTCCCATTCAACTATGAGAACCACGAGGCTCGGCGTGGAGCCCCGATCTGAGCAGGGGGACCCCGATGAGTTGCTTGCCCCCCAGCACACTTCCTGGCATCCGTCTCAGTCCCCTGATGGGGATGGGTTGGGGAGCTGGGAGTCCTGACCTGCGCCCTGCCCTTTCTTTCTCTCGTAGCTACGAAGACTTCTACCTCTCCTGCTCCCTCAGCCACGGCGGCAAGGAGCTGTGCAGCCCCCTGCAGACCCGAAGAGCTCACTTCTCCAAATTCCTCTTCCACCTCATCATCTGGGACCAGCAGTAAGCCCTTCCCCAGACCTGCGCGTCCTGGTCAATGTCCCTGGCGCCAGATAACCTTACCCAGACTGGGGATCTAGGGATTAACCCAGGCTCCCTGGCTAACCCTAACCAGACAGGTCATCCAGCCTCTTGAGTCTCCACTTCCTGACTCTTTCTTTTTTTATTTTTTTGAGACAGAGTCTCGCTTTGTTGCCCAGGCTAGAGTGAGTGCCGTGGCGTCAGCCTAGCTCACAGCAACCTCAAACTCTGGGCTCAGGCGATCCTCCTGCCTCAGCCTCCCGAGTTGCTGGGGCTACAGGCGTGTGCCACCATGCCCGGCTACTTTTTTCTATATATATTAGTTGGCCAATTAATTTCTTTCAATTTATAGTAGAAACGAGTCTTGCTCTTGCTCAGGCTGGTTTCGAACTCCTGACCCTGAGCAATCCGCCCGCCTCGGCCTCCCAGAGTGCTAGGATTACAGGCGTGAGCCACCATGCCCACTTCCTGACTCTTGAATGTGGGGAAGTATACCATAATTTTTACCTCTGGAGTTGTCATGAGGATGTAGTGAGAAGTATCCATAAAGGCTCTTTGTAAACCATAAAAATCCATATAAACATTAGTTGTTAATTTTTGTTTTTTTTTTTAGAGACAGGGTCTGAGGCTGGAGTGCACAGTGGCATCATCCTAGCTCACTGCAGCCTCAAACTCCTGGGCTCGAGTGATCCTCCTGTCTCGGCCTTCCAAAGTGCTGGGATTACAGGCATTCGCCACTGTGCTTGGCCCAGTTGTTAATTTTAATAATATTTTATTGGTTTGATCCTGTATCCCATAAACAGTTTAGTCTGAGGGATTCTCATCCTCTCCTTTCTGCCCAAAGTTTCTGTAGACTAGGGAGAAGAGATTGCTTTTCTCTTATAGAGAGAGAAGGGAAGGTCATCTAGAGGAAAAAATAATGGACTTGGAGCCACAGAAGGAAGGCTCTCTTTCTAGCTCTGTCTCTAATCCTGTGTTTTCTCTAGCCACTCTGTGCCTCAGTTTCTGGAGCTGAGAAATGAGGACATTTGTTTAACTCAGAGGCAGTTGTAGCACTGAAATGAGATAGGCAGGTTATAAATATAAATATGAAACCACAAGCACAAGATAGAGCCAATCACCATTTGTTAATAATTTGGTACCAGGAAGGCGGGCGTCGTCCAAGCGAAGCAGGAAGGAAATGGCGCAGAGGGTGCCTGGGCCGGTGCTGGTGCAGGTGTTTGCACCGTGTCTCCTCTGGGCTGTGCTCTCTCTTCCCTCCGGTCAGAAAATCCCTTGCGTGCTGCCCCAGCTTCACTTCCTCACTCTGGCTGTGTCTGAGCCCTCCTTTGCAGAGCATGGCTGCAGCTTAGGTATTTGGGCTGCAGATTAAAGAGCCCTGGCGGGGTGCCGGGAGACTGAGGATGCTGAGACACATAGACAAAGAGCCTGTGGAAATCCTGGAAGGGCTGGGTCATTTTATAGACGGACACCTGGGAAGCCACCCTTTGTCCCCTGTCCTTCACAATTAGAAAATTCTTAGAGCAATAAAGGTGTCCATAAAGGTCCTTAAACAAACAACTGCCAGGGCAGGAGAAACTCCTGCGTTTCACCCTCCCCTTGGGAGTCTGTGGCCTTACTGGGTGCTGTACAGTGTTCTGGCCCAGGAGGACCCCCAAATTGGCCTGAGATCTTTTCCCATACAGTACTGGAGGTACGGGGGCAGCCCAGCCTGCCCAGCGGGTCTCACTGTGTGTCTGAGATCTCCACTTGCAATCCCGAAGGGCTGGTCCCCCGCCTAACAGGGCATCCTGTTAGCACAGCCCACCTGGGTGGCCCTTCGTGGTCAAGACTACAGCATTTGGGAGAAAGTGCCACAGTGTGGGGTTCAGAGCTCAGGCTTCTGACCAGTCATTCTCTCCTTCTTACTGTGGGTGCAGCCTTGGGCAGGTCATTCAACCTAGAGCGGAGGTGATAATGGGGCCTGAGTGTTTGAGGAGCAGTTAGGACACTGTCAATAAAGGGCTGAGCACAGTGCCTAGTACATGGCAAATGTTTCCTTCTTCATCTTCTTTGCTCGGGAACCCTCTTGGTTCCGGTTTCTCTGTTCCAGGTGTAGTTAACACAGACAAGGTAATTAACACACGGGGATACTTGTGCATGAAAGTGCTGTTTGTATAAGGCAGTTTTAGTGCAGTAAGCACAGCGCCACAGAGCAAAAGGTATACAGATGGCGTGTACACACACCACACAAGTGAAGCTGTGTCCCCCTGAGGCCCAGGCGTGTGAGTTCAGTTGCCTGAGGTTGTGAGTGGAGGAATCAGGAAGGGAACCCAGTGCAGACCAGGAATCCTTCCTGGAGGAGGCAGCCTGCGATGTGATGTGGAACGGGTTGCAGGAAGCAGAGGGGTTTCTCAGGCAGGGAGGAGGTTCAGGACTGCAGCCCACGTGGTGCTTATCCTGACTGACTGCAGGCTCGGGTCTGCGGGAGAGGCTTTGGAATACCAGATATACTCGAGGACTCGGGAGACTCAGGAGACGGGGTCTTGGCTGGTTCTAGAGGTTCTGGTTTCAGTTAGACACGAACCTGGGTGAAAAGAGAGAGCTCAGGACCGGCTCGCTCTCCCGCTAGCTATGGGTCAGCTGATTCTCTCTCCACTGTAGCAGGACAGGGATCAGCTAACTCTCAAAATAGGCCGGGCAACCGTGCTTTGTCACCTCCAGCCAAGCCCAGGCCTGGCTGTCTGCTGGCTGCTGGAGGGGCCCTAATTATAGCTGCGGCCCCCCAGGGTACAGGCAGCTGGGACAGAGCAGGACTCTGCCAGTGCTGGGCAGCGGCGTGGGAGGGGTGCCTCCCTCGGTGGAGATTCCCCTGGAGCAGAGAGGGGCCGGGAGGGAGGCTGCTTTATCTTGACACTGCGAACCCTGGGGGTGGCCACCCTGCCTCTGTGCCTTCTGGCATAGAAGCTGCTGGGCTCTGGGCTGGCCCGGAGGGTGTGGCAGTGTGGACTTTGGCCCAGGGGCAGCTTCCCACAAGGTAATGTGTGTCCTCCCTCTCTTTCCACAGCTCCCCTCCCCTCCCGACCTCTCCCCCTCTCCCCACCCTGAACTCTCCTTGCCCTGAACTCGGAGGGTGTGGCTGGGTGTGGCTCAGCAGAGGAGCCTGGAGGGAGCATCTGGGCCCTTGCCTGCCTGCCGTGGGCTTCTGAGTCTCCATTCTCCTGGCCTGGCCAGTGGGCTTTCTCACCACTGGAGACTTTGAGAAGCCCCTTCTCTTTATCCCTTTGGCTTTGAGCGTGGTTGGGGGTGAGGGTGTGAACAGCTCCCTGTGTGCCCCTGGGGTTAGGAGACTTGAGGAGGACTGGCAGGAGGGCTGTGGGGGAGGGTGAGCGGGGACAGGGAACACGGTGCTTCTTCCTGGAGACTCTGGCAGCAGGAAGTGGGGGAGGGATGGGGACTGTCGACTGGAAGAGGAGGATAAAAGGAGCAGCCTTGGTGACCCCATATGGCTCCCAGGATGGGAGTGTCACGCCTCACCTGCACTCCAAGGTGGCTCTGGCTAAGCGAGTTCTGACCAGGCACCATGGGTAGCCTCAGAACCCGGATGTTTGCCTCACTCCACTGCAGGGCTCCGGGGACACCCTACTGTGCCTCTGGGAGCAGCCAGGGGAGGCGTTGCCTAGTTTGGGGCCTGTCCTGGTTCTGCGGGAAGGCTTCTCCAGGGAGCATGTCTGACACCCCAAGAGGAAGGCGGAATCCTCAGCCTCATCTGGACTTCCTGGGCCACCTGTCCACGAAGCCGCAGGGCAGCCTCTCCTGATCTGGTTCCCTGTCCCCCGTAGGATCTGCTTCCCGGCGCAGGTGAACCGGCTTCCTCGGGAGACCCTGCTGTGTGCCACGCTCTATGCTCTGCCCGTCCCCCCGCCCGGGAGCTCCTCGGAGGCCAATAAGCAGCGGCGGGTACCTGAGGCCCTGGGCTGGGTCACTACCCCGCTCTTCAACTTCAGGCAGTATGTGAGCCCCAGGGGAGCAGCTCCTTGGCCTTGGGAGGGAGGGAGGGGGACAGAGAAATGGGCCTGGCAGCCGCACTGGCCAGTGTCCCTTGGGAGGGTTGGCCATGTGGGGCTCACCGGTGAAGTCCAGAGGCTCCCCAAGTCCTAGTGACCAGGACTGTTGATGTCACCAGGAGCCACTGGGCAGGACCGGAGGTATGAGACTGTCGTAGGGGCATGGGATAGCAATGCGTGGGTAGCACACGATCCGGTCTTGTTGTTGGAAGGACCTCAGAGGTCGTGTAGCCCGGCCTCTCGACCTCAGCGAGGCATCCCTGCCACCAGGTCACCCAGGCCAGGGTGTGTGAGCTCAGAAAGGCCTCTTGCAGCGGGCGGGCTGTTCTAGACTCGGGAGAAGGAAGAGGCCATGGTCTGCGGGGAGAATGAGAGAGGTGGGTTGGGTGGTGGCTTCCATTAGAAAAGGCAGATTTTTGGATTGGGGGAGCAGGAGGAAAGCCATTTGCTTAACCAGTGGGTTTGGTGGCTCATCCCACCCTCCTTCCTCCTCAGGGTCCTGACCTGTGGCCGGAAACTTCTGGGCTTGTGGCCAGCAACACAGGAAAGCCCCGGCGCCCGCTGGAGTGCCCCGAATTTCCACCAGCCGGACAGCGTCATCCTGCAGGTGAGGCCCGGCCCTGCCCTCCCGCCCGCCCGCAAGCCAGACCACCTCAGAGTCTGCTCCGGGTTTGCCCTCTTGAGGTTGGGGCTGGGACAGGAGGAGAAAGTGCTAGAACTTTGGGCATGGGCTGATGATGGGACTGAAGCAATGGGGTGATGTGCTCAGACCAGGAGTGGGAGGTGAGCTCTGTGCTGTCCAGCCCCCGTCTCCTGGAGGTTCAGTTTAATTTCAAGGAGCCTGAAGGTATGTGAGACCTTCCTCATCCTGGGCTCGGCTTCTCAGAGCCCCTTTTGTGGAACTCTCAGCTTCTAAGTTTGGTCAAATCTGAGCTGTCCGCTCTTGAGGCCTGAGAGGAGGCCCTTCCCCAGCCCGTCACTCAGGGCTTCCACGGGGTGGACTCATCCTTTGGGGAGAGGAAGAGGCTGGTGCCCAGGCCCAGGACCTAGTTCCCAGCTCCCAGCTCCCCCCTTCTTGTCCCGAGATGCTTTGGTGTGAAATACGGAATATTAAAGTTGATACCAGACGAAACAGAGTGGTGCAGAATGACAGCTCCATGAGGCAGCTCCCTGTTTTTGTCTGTCGTTCACTACTCTGTGCCCAGGGCCTAATGTGGGCTCGGGAGGCATTTGCTAAATGTAAGAAAGTAGCACTGCTTTGGAAAATTAGCTCACTTAGTTCTGACACCCGTTTTAGGAGGATGAACAGCTCGTGGCATAGAGCAAGGACTAGTGTCACAGGCCCTAGAGCTGGCAAGGCTCTCACCCAGCACTGTCCCACCTCCTGTCACCCAGCACTGCCCTCCGAGACCTCGCGGAACGCTCCCCAGCCTCGGCCTGGTGACCTTTCTGTTCAAAGTTCTGGGCCGGGCTCGTCCCCTCCCCTAGATGCATCTCAGCTGAACCTCTTCCTCACTTGTTCATTCTCTTTTTCTCTGTTGCCTCTTTTCTTTTTTGCTGAAAGTTATAGCTGGAAGGGACTTTGGAGATCGCCGAGTCCAGCTGGGTTCTTTTGGAAAGAAGCTGAGGGAGCGAGGCAGGAACTCTGGGGTGGGAGAGAGAAGCTGGGGACCCGCATGTGCCGCCTGCTCCCTGTCCTCACTGCCGATCCCATCCCCTAGATCGACTTCCCCACCTCGGCCTTTGACATCAAGTTCACCAGCCCCCCCGGAGACAAGTTCAGTCCCCGCTATGAGTTTGGCAGCCTCGGGGAGGAAGACCAGTGCGCGCTCAGAGGCATCATGCAGAAGGAGTCCCTGTACTGGTGAGGGCCGGGGCCTCCCCTCTTGTCACTCAGGCCCCCACCGTGTCTGTTGTGTTCCTTCTGACCTCCCACCTCCCAGCACTGGGTCCTTGTCCTCCTGCTTTGGGACAAGGTGGGACAGGGTGGGCATTGTCACCTAGGTAGGAGGTGGCGGGGGCAGCCCCCAGGCGTCTCTCCAGGTGCTGACACCAGGGAAAGTGGGGGGGCCCGGGTCAGGAAATTAGCTCCGAGAATGCCCACGCTGGGGACTGGGTCCAGACTCGGGTACCCAGGGAGACCAGAGCTTTGCCCCACACCCCCAGATACACTGTCTCCTGCTTGCTGTCCTCTGGGGCAGCTGGCCCCACCACCCTGCCCCCACCTCCTGCCCCTTCCCCACCAACAGCTTTTGCATTTTTCTGGCTCTGTCACTTTCCAAAAAGGATCAGGTGTCAAAGCAAGCTGGCAGCTCTCAGGGGTAAGCGAGTCCAGGCTGAGCTCATCCTTGGGGCTGCTGCTTTCACCAGGACTGGAGAAGCTCCTCCCCTGCCCGCTCCCCCCGTCCGCCTCTCTGAGCCCCGCGCACGTGCTGGTGGAGGGGAATGGGAGAGACTGCCCACCCGGGTAGCCAGAGTGGCTGAGTGACAGCCGGCCTCCCTGCCCCCACTCCTCTGCCGGCTCCACTTCATCAGCCCCGCGGCTCCCCTCGCCCATTAGACACCTGATCCCAGGCGAGGCCCAATGAGCTGCAGGTCCCCCAGCACCGGCAGCTGGCCCCAGGCCCCAGGAGGCCGCTCAGCTGCCCAGACGCGCGGTGAGGGGCCACTGCCCCCTGGCGGTTCTCCGTGGGAGCGGCCCCGGGGAGGGCGGCGTGCGCAGGGCCCTTGCATCCTGCTCAGTCCCTGAGGCCCCGAGCTGGGGTCCCAGGTACGAGTGGGGCCCCGGTCCGGGAGCTTAGCTTCACGTTGGAATCTTCTAGTGATCTTCAAAAAATACCGATGCGAGGCTTCCCCAGACATTCCGACTTGATGGGTGTCGGGTGTGACCTGGGCCCGGGAGGGAGTCGCCAAGCTGCGCAGGTGACGGCGATGCGCACCTGCAGCTTGGGAGCCCGGGAGCTGAGCGTGTGGCTTCCCCTCCTGCGTAAATACCCCGCGCGAGCGTGGCTGACTCCGCCCCTCCCCGCCCGCCCCGGCCCCCAGGCTCACCGACGCCGACAAGAAGCGCCTGTGGGAGAAGCGGTATTACTGCCACGCGGAGGTGAGCTCGCTGCCCCTGGTGCTCGCCAGCGCCCCCAGCTGGGAGTGGGCGTGCCTGCCCGACGTCTATGCGCTCCTGAAGCAGTGGACCCACATGAACCACCAGGATGCCCTGGGGCTCCTGCATGCCACGTGAGTTGTGACAGCCACCTCTCCTGGCCACGTGTCCTTGCAGGAGCCAGGCCTTGGCGCCGCCCATCACCGACCTGAGCCAGAACCAGCCCTGGGGAACATGATACAGTGGACACGGATGTTCAGGGCTTTTCCAGTTCTCCTTTTTGCTTTGTCTTTCTCATTTACCGCCCCCACCCCAATGTTGTATGATGGGCATTTTCCAAACATACAACAAAATTGAAAATTGTGCAGTGAACTCCCCTATGGCCACCACCTAGATTCTATCATTAGCATTTGCTCAGTGTGCTTTATTGTGTGTCTGTACATCCATCCTTCTACGCATCCAGCGATCCATCTTATTTTTTTATGCATTTGGAAGTACACTGCAGACATCATTATACTCCCTCCTGAGTACTTCAGCATGCACATCATTAACGAGAGCTCAGTGTTTGCTGCCTTTTTTCCTTTGAGGCAAAATTTGCATATAAGGAAATGCCCAAACTTTACCCATATGTCAGCTGAGTTTTGACGGATACCTTCACCTGTGTAACCCAAACCCTTATCACTTAGTGCTACTTTTTTTTGTTTGTTTTTGACAGAGTCTCACTCTTTTGCCTAGGCTAGAGTGCTGTGGCGTCAGCCTAGCTCACAGCAACCTCTAACTCCTAGGCTCAAGTGATCCTCCTGCCTCAGCCTCCCGAGTAGCTGAGACTACAGGCATGCACCACCATGCCCGGCTAATATTTTCTACATATTTTTAGTTGGCCAATTAATTTCTTTCTATTTATAGTAGAGACAGGGTCTCGCTCTTGCTCAGGCTGGTTTTGAACTCCTGACCTTGAGCAATCCGCCCGCCTCGGCCTCCCAGAGAGCTAGGATTACAGGCGTGAGCCACCACGCCCGGCTCAAAATAATGCTTTAATCCACATGAGGCCTGTTTGTTGGGATTTCTGGCACATTGGGAGTCAAGGAAGAAATCTTTGGGAGTAGGGTTGAGGACTTTGTCCTGTTTCGTTTGAATCATCCAAGGATTGACAGTGGCCACCCATCGCTCCACCATGGCCTGATGTAGACTTTGACCATGAAGGAGGGCCATTCCTAAGGGTTGCTGTCCAGAAAAGGTGCAAAGGATTCCTCCAGTGGCTTTGGCAGATTCTGGGGGACGTTGCCTTTTCTCCATCCGTGTCCCTGGAGCCCAGGTGCAAGGGTGCTTGGCTCCCACCTGTGCCGCAGAGCCCGCAGCTGGGAAGTCAGGGTACTGGGCTCTGTTTTGCAGTTTCCCGGACCAAGAGGTGCGTCGCATGGCTGTCCAGTGGATCGGCTCGCTCTCGGATGCTGAGCTTCTCGACTACCTGCCCCAGCTGGTACAGGTGGGTGGCTCGGCCTCCCTCCAGCTCTTGAGGGTCCCATATCCAAGACCCCGTGTCAGTCTGTATTCTGGCCTTAGAATACCATTAGAGCCCCTAATGGTACAGTCGTAGGTGTAGATTATAGATAGTTAGCCAAGCCTCGTATTCTCTTTCTCCCTTTCTCCTAAACAGGCCCTCAAGTATGAGTGCTACCTGGACAGCCCCTTGGTGCGCTTCCTCCTGAAACGAGCTGTCTCTGACTTGAGAGTGACTCACTACTTCTTCTGGTAAAACTGCGTGCAGAAAAGTGGGAGGTAGACAAGTGCTCTCCCCGTGGCAGTCCTTTAGTCCCGGGCGTGCAAGGCTGAGGAGCCGAGTTGTCCGGGTTCCGTCATGCGGCTGACTTACCACGTGGCCTTGGGACTAGCATCTGTTGGAGGAACCTCCTAACTCGGGGGGTCCTCAGTTCGCCCCATGTAACACAGTGAGGACCATGCCTGCCCGTCCTCTCCACCCCCCGGGGCAGAAATATAAAGGAGAAACGAGCTGCAGAGGGGCTTTGAGCTCCACTGAAGGACAGATTCTGAGAAGCACTAGAGATAGTAAAGAAAAGGAAAAAAGGCCAAGACAGTGGAGACGTACTAGGGCGTGGGCCCAGGTGAACAGCTCTGAATCAGCTATGCACAGAGGGGATATTTTCCCTCCCAAGTTCGGGTGTGTTTTGCAGTGAGCCGGCGCTGGGTCTGACCCCTTCTCCCTCCACACTCTTGCCCCTGATCCCTGGAGCGTCTCGACTCCCCTCTCCCTCTGCCTTGCAGGCTGCTGAAGGACGGCCTCAAGGACTCTCAGTTCAGCATCCGCTACCAGTATCTGCTGGCAGCCCTCTTGTGCTGCTGCGGCAAGGGGCTGAGAGAGGAGTTCAACCGCCAGTGCTGGCTTGTCAACTCCCTGGCCAAACTGGCCCAGCAGGTCCGAGAGGCAGCTCCGTCTGCACGCCAGGTGAGTGGGCTGAGGCTGCTCCCACCCTTTTCTCTTCCCGGGTTTCTGTAGCCAGTCATTCATTTCCTAGGCATCCTGAGCAGCAGAGTGGCACCTGACCATCTCTGATTGAGGAGGTTGGAGCAGATAACCCTGTCTGCAACCTGCAGGCCACAAACAGGCAGTCTGCTGGCTGGATACAGTCCTGGGTGTGTTTTGTTTGGCCTGCAAACTATTGAAATTTTTATCTACGCTGTTTGCCTTAAAGGCTAAGCACAGTTGTGTAAGTTGTTCACTGCACAAGAGCACTCGGCTAGAATGGGCAAATGAGGGCTGAAATCCAGCCATATTTTGTTCCCTGTGCTATGACCCATGGCTCAGGGTGGATGCCGCCCAGAGAGGGACATCAAACATTTATCTGTTTGCACAGAGGCACTGTATTGGCCAGCAGTGTCCCTGGTTGTTGACATTTCAAAATCGGGAGCATTTATGTTAAAGTCTAGGTTGTTAGATTCTCTTGGCAAAACCCTGAGCAGCACTTGCCCCTCGAGAGCCAGCCTGCCCTCGCAGTTCTCTGTGGCACGCTTCGTGCTGTCGTGTCACCTGCCTGGCCTCTCTGGGTATTCGCTTCTGCTGCTCTTGCTGCTCTTGCGCTGGCCCAGGTGGGGGCCCAGGTGGGTGGTTTTCCTTCTCAAGGGTCTCCTGGGGGTTGTGCACACTGAAACTACTGAGAACCCGCCCCTGGGGGATGCCTGCTTCTGAGTGGAGCTCATGGGCCCCCCTCACCTCTCCCCTCCTTCCCAGGGAATCCTCCGCGCAGGCCTGGAGGAGCTGAAGCAGTTCTTTACCCTCAACGGCTCCTGCCGCCTGCCACTCAGCCCCAGTCTGCTGGTTAAGGGAATTGTGCCCAGGGTGAGTGACTGGTGGGTTTGGGGTTCTCAGAGTGGGAGGGGAGGGCACAGTGGAGGCGCGGTCCTCACTGTCCTGGATACTGAGAGACAGGAGGAAGAAAGGCATACTTTTGGCTTCCTCCCATCCCTACCGTGTACAGACTTTTGCCTGACAGCTTGCGGGGTAGAGGAATTGGGTTGGAGGGTGAGCAGGTGTCTCTCCCTGGTGATGCTGGGGGTGAAGCCAGGGATGGTGCTGACGATGGCAGCTGTCACCTGTCATTTATTGAGCAGCCTCTGTGCTTGGCACCGTTGCAAGTGCTTTTACGTTAGTTGTTGGCATTTCGTTCTCACAACTCTTAGGGATTCGGTTGTGTTGTGAGCCCCATTTTACAGAGGAGCAAACTGAGGTATAGATGGGGGACATGTGGCTTCCTAGAGAGTTGTGTGCAGAATGAACGGAGTTGCGTGAGAGGTCAGGTGCTGGAGCTGAGGCCGTTATAAACCGAACCAGGATGGTGACTAGAGAGAAGGAAGGAATTCCTGGATTCCTGAGAAATCGGGAAGAAACAGTGAGCAGGCCTTGGGCGGCCTGGCAGGAGGGTAGGCAGCGCCTTGGTTCCAAGTGGAGAGGTCGTTTTCCTTCCTGGGCATCGCTCACCTGACCCTCTCCCCCGTGGCAGGACTGTTCCTATTTCAACTCCAATGCGGTCCCCCTCAAACTCTCCTTCCAAAACGTGGATCCGCTGGGTGAGAATATCCGTGTCATCTTCAAGGTGAGAATTGCTTGATGCGAGCCGGGTGAGATGAGGGTGGCAGAGGGAAGGAGGCAGCCCCAGGCTGGCAGAAGTAGCCCTGGGGTAGTTCCCTTTCCCTCATTCCTGCCTTTTTAACACATGAAGGACTATAAGGGGGAAAAAAGGGTTTAGACTAATTCTGCATGGCCCCAGAGGACTGAGAACCGAGTGTTAGGTGCAGGGTAGCAACTGACGCTTCCGTATGCAGATGTGCATTCCAGGAGGCAAAGCTACCCCAATGCTGGAATAGGTAAGGTAGTGATCTGCCTGTCCCCGGGGATATTCAAGCAGAGGCTGAATGATCATGTGGCAGGGATATCGAAGAGGAATTTAATATATCAGGTGCAGGGTGGATTAGATGAACCCTAAACTTCCTCCTAACTCTGGTACATCCATGACTCTGAGAAGTTTAAATGGTAGTCTCGGAGCAGATAATGTAGCCGGGGAGACAAAATGCACACGCGGGACTTTGTAACTTACCTATTTGCCGGGCGTGAGTTCTAAATCGAAAGTTCAAGTTTAAAAAGAAGGGCCTGAGGGTCAGGAGGGCGGCGTGCAAGAGAGGAACGTGGATTCACTGCAGAGGGGATGTGGGATGGAGGGAGGAGCCAGGGCACCACCTGGGCACACTGGGAAGGTTCCCGACCCACGACCCACGTCTGACCTGGTGTGAGCTGAGTGCGCAGGTCTGAGGTGTGGGGCAGAACCGGGCAGTCCCTCCCTGTCACTGGAGTTTGGGCCGAGGTTGCCCAGCGGGGGGAAGAGGGGGTCTGGGAGCTGAGGGAAGCGGTGGAGATCGGATCTGGTCACTCTCCTCCCCCGTCCAGTGCGGGGACGACCTTCGCCAGGACATGCTGACGCTGCAGATGATTCGCATCATGAGCAAGATCTGGGTCCAGGAGGGGCTGGACATGCGCATGGTCATTTTCCGCTGCTTCTCCACCGGCCGGGGAAGAGGTCAGTCGGGGGCGCGGGTGAGGGTGGTGAAGGGGGCACGGGCAGGCCGCGTGCGTGGAGCTTAATGTGCGGGGAAGCTTCCAGCACAGCCCTGTAGTCCTCTCCCTACGGTCCCCTTCCTTCTGCTCTGGAGTGTGACCCCGACTCCTCCTCCCACAGGGATGGTTGAGATGATCCCCAACGCTGAGACTCTGCGCAAGATCCAGGTGGAGCACGGGGTGACCGGCTCCTTCAAGGACCGGCCGCTGGCCGACTGGCTGCAGAAGCACAACCCTGGGGAGGACGAGTACGAGAAGGTAGGTTGGGGCGGGCCATGCCGACTCTGTGACCGCAGGACCTGCACGTGCACACAGAAGACAGCTCAGCCTTGCTGGGGGGAGGGACGTGCTCTTTCTGGGTCGACTGGTGCTTCCAAATATCTAGGTGTGAGTCAAATGACTGTCGTCTGCTGACCGAGAAGGGCCCCTGGTACTGGACTGGGAAACCTTCTTGGAGTTCCCCTGGCAGATTGAGCGTGGGAGGAAGGGAGGGGACCAGCTTTTGGGAACCTGCCTGTGTCTCTCCTACTTGTGGATCTTGCCCAATTTCTCTTGTGTTCTCAGAGGGGTTCAGTGGTACTTTCTAGAACAAGAGTTGGTTGGAAGAGACTTGAGAGATCATTTTAATCCAGCCCCTTCTTTTTTATAGGTGTGAATCAAGATTCACTTGCTTGTTCTTAGTCGAGGAGCTGGCTTGTGGCCAGGCTGTGACTTGAAGCCAGGATCGAAGTTAGATATGGGCAGAGATGGTAGAAAAGAGGACGGACTGGTTCCTGATTGGATTAGATTAAAGAAGGTTGAGTTGGTAGTGGGTGGTAGGGAGGCCTGCTGTGGTCTGTGCCTGGTCCACAGCTTCTCCACTCGAGTCTCTGGGTTAATTAGGTTGGGTGGGAGGGAACAAGTCGCCCACCGAGGACATTTATCCGGCCCGTGGGGTGTTTTTGCTGCTGCTGCCTGTCCTGCTTAGCACCCGATTGGTCCCGGGCCCACAGTGCGCACGTGTGGAATGTGCACCGCACTCTCCAACAGCCCTCCAACGGGCTGAGGGACAGTGAACTGGCCCCCCTGCTTACAAAGTTTGAGGACTCCTGTATAAGAGAGTGGCTACACACCAGAATGCTCATTTATATAAATGTAACTTAAGGAGATCCAAATGTTATATGGATCAGTGCGTTTTATCCTCGAGGGGAAACTTGTATGGGCAGCCAAATTATAATCGAAACATTGTTTAGTGAATATGTAATTAAGTAGATAATCTTCAGTGGCCTTAAGTGTTTGTGTTTTCCAAGGTTTAATTCCTGGCCTGCTGTGTTCTCTCTGCACTTGTCTCGTGCCGGCTCAGCCTCTCTTGTTACTCAACTACCACCCGTACACTGATGACCCCCTAGGCCACTCCTCTAGCCCTCTTCCCGCCCTCTAGCTTAATTTTTTTATTTTTTGAGACAGAGTCTCACTCTATCGCCCAGGCTAGAGTGAGTGCCGTGGCATCAGCCTAGCTCACAGCAGCCTCAACTCCTGGGCTCAAGCGATCTCCTGCCTCAGCCTCGAGTACTGGACTACAGGCACACCACATGCAGGCTAATTTTTCTATATGTTTTTAGTTGGCCAGTTAATCTCTTTCTAGTCCTCTAGCTTTAGACTCGCTGCCACCTGCTTGCTGTACTTCACTTGTGTTTCCACACCCTCAAACTCAGTGTAGGTAAAACCGAGCTGTCTCCTTTGCCTCTTGAAGCCTGCTTGTGCAGGCACCCAGGCCAGAGCCATAGTCTTCCCAATGCTTCCTTCTTCCTCGTTTCTGCTGCGCCACGTCCTGCTGATTCTTCTCCCCAGCTCTCTCTCAAATCTGTCCTCTTCTCTCCATTTTCTTACTGTCGCTTTTGGTCAGTTGTTTGCTGTCTGTCCCCTGAACCACTGGAATGCCTCTCCCCCATCTAGAGCCAGCCTCTGCTTGATTTCAGAGGTGGGCTTTTTTTTTAAGTATAACCTGGTCGTGTCACTTTTTTGCTCTAAGTTCTTCAAAGGCTCCCTGTGTCCTGACGGGAAAGTGCAGCACCCAGAGCATCGCGCACGAAGCCTTTTGTAAGCAGCCCTGCCCACCCCTGTAGTCTCATCCACTGCATCCCATCTTCTGGTTTTTTTTTTTTTTTTAGACAGGTTCTTGCTTTGTTGCCCAGGGTAGAGTGCAGTGGAATCATCGTAGCTCACAGCAACCTCAAACTCCTGGGCTTAAAGGATCCTCCTGCCTCAGCCTTCCTTATAACTGGGACTATAGGTGCATGCCACCATGCCTAACTAGTTTTTAAATTTTTTGTAGAGACAGGTTCTCACTTTGTTGCCCAGGCTGGTCTCCGATTCCTGGGCTCAAGCAACCATCTTGCCTCAGCCTCCCAGAGTGCTGAGATTATAGGTGTGAGCCACTGTGCCCAGCCCCCATCTTATGTTTACTCATGTTCCAGCTTAGGGGGCTACTACTTGCATTTCCTCAGTACCTTAGACAATAGTATTTCCTTTGCCTAGAAAGCCATTCCTTCCCTTCCTTATCCCACAAAACCTACCCACTCTATGCTGTAAATTTCAAGGCTTTCTTCCCTTGGAGAGGGGCAATACTGATTCTTTCCTCCCCACTCCCGCTCTGTATACTCTTTATACTAATATGTACTTACAGGCATTAAACACCTACCAGTGCTGGAGTTATGATTACTCCCTGCCAGTGTAATAAAGAGTCATCATAAATGTGATGGAAGTATGTACAACAAGAATATACACACAGGGATGCTAACTCTGCATGATGATGTTAGTCTCAGTCTTTCAAAGGTAGATTCTTGGCTCTTCTAGACTCTCTGCCAGAATAATGCTCGTTGTTTTCTATGGTGACTTCCAGAAGAAAAGAACTAGAGATATTTCTCTCTTGGCCACCTACTCATAAGAGAGCACCCCACACCCTACAAGTGAAACCCCTTGTAGGAGAGCACCCCTTTATTTTTTTTATTTTTTATTTTTTTTGTGGACGAGGTTCTGGGGCCCCAAGAGAGGGGGGGGCCCAGAAGTCGCCCTAGACAGCACCCCTTTAGACTGTGAGATTTCTTGCCAGTAAACAGCTAACACCTTGTAAAACATACGATGGTGACAAGAGTTGAGTCATTTACCTACAGGCAGACAGCTATTTTCTTTTTTGAGACAGAGTCTCACTTTGTTGCCCTGGCTAGAGTGAGTGCCGTGGCGTCAGCCTAGCTCACAGCAACCTCAGACTCCTGGGCTCAAGTGATCGTCCTGCCTCAGCCTCCCGAGTAGCTGGGACTACAGCCATGTGCCACCATGCCCGGCTAATTTTTTCTATATTTATTAGTTGGTCAATTAAGTTCTTTCTATTTATAGTTAGAGACGGGGTCTCGCTCTTGCTCAGGCTGGTTTCGAACTTCTGACCTCGAGCCATCTGCCTGCCTCGGCCTCCCAGAGTGCTAGGATTACAGGCGTGAGCCACCTTGCCCGGCCAAGACAGCTATTTTCTGAGCCAAAAGAGGATTCATTGGCAGTAGAAAGAGTACCTGTCTGTGGCAGGGAGAGGATCTGATGAGGGTGACGATCAAGACTGGGAGTCGATGGGTTATACTCCTTATTGAGTGGTTTCATTCATCTATCTTTCTTAGAAATAGTCTTTTTCTTCCAGAAGGTGCATTCTGTGATTTTTTTTTTCCTTTTTATTATTTCATTCTCTACTTACTTACAAACTTTCTATTCCTATTTTCCAGTGGATTAGTCATCGGGTTGTAACTTGACAAGTAGCTGGGGCTGGGTGGGGGGCGTGTGTGTAGCTAAGTCTGCAATAGGTCTTGTGGAACAGCCAAGAAGCTGTTGGGAGAGGAGATCCCTAAACCCTGTGGGACTGAAAAGACCAAGGAAGCACTGAGTGAACCGGGAAGGTCTGGAAAGATGTGGGATCAAGGAAGGTCCTTGAAGGATGGTGGAAATTTGGGGAGAGAGGCAGGGAGGATTGGCGTTGTAGATCTGGCAGTCTTTCTCTCGTTCCCTGTTTTGTGCATTCCCAGTTGGCTGTGATGCTATTGCCCTCTGCTCATAAGTCTTTCTTGAGTTCTTGGGAATTCTCCTGACCTCATGAAGAGGATTTTAGAAGGCAAGCAGTGTCCATCTGCTGATCCCACGTATTTTTGCGTCCTGGAAAGATAAAAGGGCAGATGTTGACCAGACAGAATAAAATGGATCCAACCCCTCACTCCTCCCCTTCCTGCTTTAAACTCAAAAATATCTCTAACACATCTTACCAACTAGAGATGTCTGATTTTCAAGTGTAAAACACTCTCTAGAAGTGTTAAGCTGCCTCAGCTCTTCTTCAGGGTGCAGTGGCTTTAATTAGACTAGCATTTAGCTGTTACCAAGAGCTCTGGGAATGGGAGTTTTATTTTGGGTCAGGAAGAAGGAGAATAGAGGCCGGGCGCGGTGGCTCACGCCTGTAATTCTAGCACTCTGGGAGGCCAAGGTGGGAGGATTGCTTGAGCTCAGGAGTTCGAGACCAGCCTGAGCAAGAGTGAGACCCCGTCTCTACTAAAAATAGGAAAAAAAAATTAGCCAGGCAACTAAAAATAGAGAAAATTAGCTGGGCGTGGTGGCACGTGCCTGTAGTCCCAGCTACTCAGGAGGCTGAGGCAGGAGGATCACTTGAGCTCAGGAGTTTGAGGTTGCTGTGATTACGAGCTAGGTTGACACCATGGCACTCTAGCCCAGGGAATAGAGCAAGACTGTGTCTCAAAAAGAAAAAAAAAGAAGGAGAATATAATTCTGAGCAGGGTCAGGAAGGAATCCTTAAATTGGCTGTCCCAGTGGCTGTCGTTGGGTTAAGGTCATCACAGCCTGTTGGGAAAGTTGTAAATGTCAGTCTTCCTGTCTGTTAAGGTCTCCCGAGTTTGGACTGGTCAGGTCTGGGTGCTCGGACCAGCCCGCTGTGTTTCCAATCAATTTCCCTAGAAGAAAGAAAGTACAGGAGAAGATGACATTCAGATGAAGTGGTGGAGACACACATAAAAAACCTTCCCTTCCCTTCTATTCCATAAGATAGGGGAGGCATTGCTGTGTGTGTAAGTGTGTACGTTATTGTGTGCTGAAGGATGAACAGGGAGGTGGGGGTGCTTTCGGGGGTCACAACAGAGAGAGACGCCAGGGCTGGCTCAGTCCTGTCTGGCTGTGGCCCCTGGAGTCCCTCTAAAGCCAGCTTTGTGTCCCCTCCTCCCATCTGCCCTGACCCCTCCCCCAGGCCGTGGAGAACTTCATCTACTCCTGTGCCGGCTGCTGCGTGGCCACCTATGTCCTGGGCATCTGTGACCGGCATAATGACAACATCATGCTGAAGACCACCGGTCACATGTTCCACATCGATTTTGGCCGCTTCCTGGGTCACGCCCAGATGTTTGGCAACATCAAGCGGTAATGATTCCCCCGAAGCCAGGATGTGCGTGGAGGGCAGGGAGGGGAGCAGAAATGGTTCAGAGCTGGGGCCCACGCCCAGGACGGAAAGAGCTGGGCCTCGGGGCATGGTCCCTGGGCCGAGCAGCTGTGGAGGAGAGAAGACCGATAAAGAGGGCAAGTCCTTGCAAAAGAAGGTGGAGACCAGCCGTTCTCCTTCCCTGCTGAGGACCGACTGAAGGGACATGAGCCCAAACTGCAGCAAAGGGAACGCAGTTGGATAGCCAGGAAAACATATTGCTAGCTCACAGATAAGGAACCAGGGAAGGATGTGGGGTATCTGTCTCTGGGGATCTTTTAAGATTAAGGTAGGAGAAAAGGAAAAGCAAACAGTTGGAGCCCCGTCTATCTAGGTCCATACACAGGCTGAGGGATGCGGGAAGCCACCCCCAGGGCAGCCCACCAGGGGGACTTCCTCCTGCAGCTGACCTTTACCTGTACGTTCCCCTTGGCCCAGGGACCGTGCCCCCTTCGTCTTCACCTCGGACATGGCGTATGTCATCAACGGGGGTGACAAGCCTTCCAGCCGCTTCCATGATTTTGTTGACCTTTGCTGCCAAGCCTACAACCTCATTCGCAAGCACACTCACCTCTTCCTCAACCTTCTGGGCCTGGTGAGGAGCCCCATCCCCCTCGGAACCCCTCCTTCTTACTGTCTGACACTTCAAAGGGTTTCTGGAGATTTGCTTCCGGGAGGGAGCCGCAGTGGAGTACCTGCCTGCCCTAGATAAAGGCAGGGCCCCAGTATACCTGGGGACGCTGGTGTCTGTGCAGGTATCTGACTCCCTACCAGCCCCTCGATTCCTGTGGCCTTGCAGCCACTGCCCACGTCTGGCCAATTCCTGTGGCCCATCCAGCCACTCCCGCCACCTGTCTGTCACCCTCTAGAAGGGTCAGGGAGCCTAGCTGTAGAAAATCTTGCCTGAGGGTGGAGAAGAAGCAAGACTTCCCTGTTGTTACGAGCACCCTCTCCCCTTCCTTCCACTCCTTCCAGATGTTGTCCTGTGGGATCCCCGAGCTCTCAGACCTGGAGGACCTCAAGTACGTGTACGATGCCCTGAGGCCTCAGGACACAGAAGCCAACGCCACCACCTACTTCACCAGGTAGCGCCCTGTGCAAAACGGCACTGCTCAGCCCGGGCAGTCCCCAGGCTGCCTGATGGGCAGGAGCGGGGCTGGGGAAAGAGGGAAGGCTTAGTTCAGGTGGTGGAACCTAGAGTTGACAACATGGATCTGTGTCCTAACGTCACCACTGGTTTAGGTACATCATTTTGCTTTTCTCAGCTTCAGTTTCCCGTCTGCATGTTGGTGCTACGCTTTATGTATAGGGATGTTGCCACCTTTCTCACCTATGTTCTCAGCAGGTCTCAGTCAAAAACCGTCCGGGCTGAGTATAATTTTGTAATAGTTTTTAGCTCTCTTGGTCAGGCCCTTCCCCCTTGCCAAAACATAGAAGTCCATGATTCAGTTTCCCCTTGTTTGACCCAGTTTTTAGGTATGAAAGCAAGGACTTGTCTATGTACTAATTCCCATACTTTCTTCCATGGATATGATGTCTCCATTATATTTTTGCACTCTTTTTGGAACTTAGAGAACTAAATTTTCTCCGTTGGGTCTAACACTGGCCCTCTCCTTTTGAATTGAAATCTCTAGAGTAGAAAGTACTTGGTGAGGTCTCATCGTACTGTACCTTCAAATTCAGTTTGACAGCATTTCTACAGAGCCCCTACTTCCTTCCTACCTTGGTTGGACTATCTTTGGCTCAGGTGGGCAGCAGCAGGAGGAGATGAGACCCTAGGATTCACACGAGTACATTGCGTGATAATTGTGTACCAACCGTGTACTCTATGAGGATATGTACTCTATGAGGGAAAATGGTTTGATCTGAGCTGACTGTTAGTCTCAGGAATCAGGGAATACTCCTTTGGATACCCCTGTCAAGGCAGTGGGAATTTGGGTTCATGGTTACGTCCTTTCCTTCTCATCCTTCCGTACCAAACAGGTTGATTGAGTCCAGCCTGGGCAGTGTAGCCACAAAGCTCAATTTTTTCATCCATAACCTGGCTCAGATGAAGTTCACGGGCTCAGATGACCGGCTGACCCTTTCCTTTGCCCCCCGAACACACACGCTCAAGAGCTCTGGCCGCATCAGCGATGTTTTTCTCTTCCGCCACGAGAAGATCTTCCACCCCAACAAGGGCTATGTAAGTGTCTTCTCCAGTCCGACCCCCTCTCTTGCTCCCCACTGAACCCCAGCTCACTGGGGTCCTGGCTGTGTTTTCAGACTCTCACGGTGGGCACTGGGGTTGACTGAGCCTCCCGTGCGGGAGCAGTCCCAGACCACTTCCCTCACCCTTGCTCGAGTGACCTGCCTGGAGTCAGGGAGCTGAATAGGGTGTTTATTCCCGCTGAGTCAAGGGTCCTGTGGAACAGGTGCAGGGAACCTTTGCTTTTAGCTTCCTGCATATGTGCTAGCTATCATCACGGTCCCCACTGACTGGAGAGACTCTTGCCCTCTTCCTTCTGGAAAGTGCCCCTGCCCCCAACGCACATGCACTTCTGCTCCCTCACCTGCCCCCGCCATGGGGTGCGGAGGGCTAAGATTTGGGCCTTTGCAGATCTACCTGGTAAAGGTGATACGTGAGAACGCTCACGAGGCCACTTACATCCAGCGGACGTTTGAGGAGTTCCAGGAATTGCACAATAAGCTGCGGCTGCTCTTCCCGTCCTCACTCTTGCCCAGGTAGCTGCCGCCTTTCCCCTCTGCACAGAGGGATCGGGGGAGGGAGAAGGAGTTAGTGATGGGGGGTGGACAGGACTGCAGGGGCGGAAAGGACTCTTAGGCCGAAGGTCTGCCTGCTTTACTGGGCCTGGCACTGCGTTTGAGAACAAGCGCTCCCCCTGCCGGCCAGCCTGTCCGGACACCCACGTGCTCAGACTCCCGCCGGGACGCTAGGTCTGGGCCCACCTGCCGGAAGGCAGGTACACTGGGTCTAAAGGCAGGGGCAGCGACTGCATCTGTAGGTGTTTCAGGGCGAGTTACACCGTTTTTCAAACGGATAAGCAAAATGTGGTATATGCGTACAATGGAGTATTATCCAGCATTAAAATGGAAGGAAATTCTGACACATGCTACATACCGCATGGATAAACCTTGAGGACGTTATGCTAAATGAACTATGCTAGTCACCAAAAGACAAAAACTGCACGAATTCACTCATCTGAGTTATCCTGTGTAACTCTATCAGATTCATGGAGACCGAAAGTGGAGCAGTGGAGGCCGGGGCGTGCAGGAAGGGAGGCGTCGTTGTGTAAAGGGTGCAGAGTTTCAGTTTTGCAAGGTTCAAAGAGTTCCGGACATGGGCAGTGCCGGCATGTAATAGTGTGAATGTAGTTGATGCCACAGAACTGCACACTTAAAAGTGGTTAAGGTGGTAATGTTTATATTTTGGGTATTTTTGCACATTTTTTTTTTTTGAGACAGAGCTTGTTGCCCGAGCTAGAGTGGCGTGGCGTCAGCCTAGCTCACAGCAGCTTCCAAATCCTGGGCTCAAGCGATCCTCCTGCCCCAGCCTCCTGAGTAGCTGGGACTACAGGCATGTGCCACCATGCCTGGCTAATTTTTTCTATATATTTTTAGTTAGCCAATTAATTTCTTTATATTTTTAGTAGAGACGGGACTCTCTCCTGGTCAGGCTGGTTTTGAACTCCTGACCATGAGCGATCCTCCCGCCTTGGCCTCCCAGAGTGCTAGGATTACAGGCGTGAGCCACTGCGCTGGTCTTTAGCACAGTTTTTTTAAGAATGATTTTTCCATGAATGTTGACATCGGGTGAGAGCAACTGGGTGCTCTAAAGCTCCTTGCTGCCCAGCAGGTGGGGTCTCCCGTCTGGGGTCTGTGGAACTGGGTGGGGAGAGGTGCCAAGCGCGGTCAGACCTGGGCACCGGCTGGGGAGCTGGGGGGAATGGGGGGGGCGGTGTGAGGGTCCTGGGGAAGGGTGGCTGAAGGGGGTCAGGTGGCTGGGAATGCAAAGGACACATGACAAAGTCTGTGGCCTCTATTTTCTGTCCCCATCTTCCCTCCCGTGTGCCGCTGCCCACCTGCCGCACCAGCTTTCCCAGTCGCTTTGTGATCGGCCGCTCCCGGGGAGAGGCGGTGGCCGAGCGGAGGAGGGACGAGTTGAACGGCTACATCTGGCACTTGGTCCACGCAGCCCCCGAGGTGGCCGAGGTGGGTGGGCTCTTCTCTGCTCCTGGTTGTCCCAGCTGGCCGCTGGTGGGGGGTGGGGGAGGGGAGGCAGGGGAGTCAGTGGTGGGGGTGAGGACTTGGCTCCCCCAGGTCTGCTGGCGTAATGACCAGCACTCCGGTGTGCAGAGGACAGGAGGAGGTGGCGCCAAAGTGGTTCGGCCTCTAGGGTCGTGCACTGAAACACAACCAAACAGAAATGCGAATGTGCCCACAGGGTCACACAGAGAGACACTGACCAGTGAGATGTGCCCCCAGAGTGATTAGGGTGACCGGAACCTGACAGGGGAAGGGGTTTCTGCTTGAGGAAAAGGAGTTTTTTGAGCAGGTTCGATGTGTGTATCCACCTAGATTTCTTTAAAAAAACATACTGTGATATAATGGCCTTACTATAGTCATAGGTAATCCTAACACAAATCACCTGCCTCCATTTTCCATGGTCCCTTCCTATTTGTTCAGATACAAGCATGATTTTTATGGTTTTAGAGTGGTCATAGTTTAAATGCAATTCTGTACTCTGACTTTTTCCCCTTTAACGTTTGTAGTAAGCATACGCCATAACTTTCAATATCTGCACCAAAGTAGTCCATTGCCGTGCGGTGCCAGAATCTCCCTAACCACTTGCTTTTGGAAAGCTATTTAGGGTCTGTTCATTTTTTTCGCTATTAATGTTCAAGTGGGTATTTTCACACATTTAGGTTTTTTGTTTTATTTTGTTTCCTTTCCCCCTATTTAGTTAGGAAATGTTCTCAAGAATGGAATTCAAGCTCTTTGTCCAAGGCTGGCTCATGCATTTCTCAGTGTTTGAGTAGTGTATGTGTGTGAGTGTGTGTGTGTGTGTGTGTGTGTGTGTGTGTGTGTGTACTTATAGGGGAGGCAGTTGTGGGAAAGAACAGACTGATGTGACCTCGTTTTGGTTTTTCTTTTTATAAAACCTTTTAGTATGAAAACTTTTAAACAGAAAAGCAGACAAACAATATTATTATTAGTGCCTATATACACATCCATCACCTAAATGATTCATGTTTTGCCATATTTGCTTCATCTATTTTTTATGAAGTGTTTCAAAGTAAATTACAGTCATCATGCTATTCGTACCCCTAAATACTATGCATCTCGAAAAATAAGGACATATTCTTTTGTAACTGCAGTGTTACTATATCGTTCGGTCCACAGGCCAAATTCAAAATTATCCTATCATCCCCCAAATTCTTTTTATAGTTGGTTTGTTGGAGCCATGATCCAAACAAGAGCATATTTTATCTGGTTGTTATATTTCTTTCTTATTTTTTTTTTTTTTTTTTTTTTTTTGTGAGACAGTCTCGCTTTGTTGCCTAGGCTAGAGTGAGTGCCGTGGCGTCAGCCTAGCTCACAGCAACCTCACACTCCTGGGCTCAAGTGATCCTCCTACCTCAGTCTCCCTAGTAGCTGGGACTACAGGCATGCACCACATGCCCCACTAATTTTTTCTATATATATTAGTTGGCCAATTAATTTCTTTTTTTTTTTTTTGAGACAGAGTCTCACTTTGTTGCCCAGGCTAGAGTGAGTGCCTTGGCGTCAGCCTAGCTCACAGCAACCTCAATCACCTGGGCTCAAGCGATCCTTCTGCCTCAGCCTCCCAAGTAGCTGGGACTACAGGCATGTGCCACCCATGGCCGCCTAATTTTTTCTATATATATTAGTTGGCCAATTAATTTCTTTCTATTTAGAGACGGGGTCTCGCTCTTGCTAAGGCTGGTTTCGAACTCCTGACCTTGAGCAATCTGCCCGCCTCAACCTCCCAGAGTGCTAGGATTACAGGCATGAGCCACTGCACCCGGCCTGGTTGTTGTATTTCATAAGTCTCTTTTAATCTAGAATTGTCCCTTTCCTTTTTGTATCAGTCCATTGTCTTATTGAAGAATGGCCCTGTTTTCTGATTCCATTCCAGTGTGACTTGGTGTACACCTTCTTCCACCCTCTGCCTCGGGATGAGAAGGCTGCGGGCACCAGTCCAGCTCCTAAATCCTTAGGTACAGTACCCTCTCTGGGACAGTCCTGCCAACCCCTCTCAACTACCCCAAGGCCAGTTTCCTGCTCCTACCAGTTTCAGTTCTTTACTTGTCTCCTCTTCCTTTTCTTACTGTCCAGGGAATCTGGTTTCCCACTCAGACTGTGGGGTCTATGGCTCCTTACCTGGCTTCCCCACAGGGTGGATATCCAGGTGGTGATTTTACTGTGAGATTGTGTAGACCACCCGAACCCAATTCTAAATCATGTTCCAGACCCCTCTTGTGTAGGTCCCCTGAATGTCCGGAACCTGACATGGAGAGATTGGGCTAAGGGGGTTCGGAAAGAAATGAAAAACAGCTGCCTGACACCAGACAGGGGCGTGGCTGGCCTCTTCACCTTTCTTGGTTTTCTTTGTCCCTACAGATGGCACATGGGCCCGGCCTGTTGGGAAGGTGGGAGGGGAGGTGAAGCTGTCCATCTCCTACAAAAACAATAAACTCTTCATCATGGTGATGCACATTCGGGGCTTGGTAAGTGTGTGCCTTCGTTTGGTTTTTTATCTTTCTTGTGCTACTTTCTGATTGCTCACATATTCCCTGCCCCAGGTCATGAGAGTAACCACAAAGATTTATAGGGCATCTGCCATGGACCCACTACCATGCCAGGCCTATAGTATGACCGGGCTGTACAAGACACAGCTTCTTATTAGCTGTGGTCTTAGGCAAGTAACTTAATTGCTCTGAGCCTCAGTATGATACAGACAATGTCAGTGCCTACCTCATAGGGTTGTTATGGGGGTTAAATGAGATAATGCATGCAGATCGCTTAACACCATGCCTGGTATTTTTATTATTATGATAATACTAATTATTATGTAATACTAATAAGGGAGAGGCTCACAGGGCTTATTACCTGGATATATATAATTAGATGGCAGCCACATGACATTCTTTAAGCATGATCAAGGCAGTATATCATTACTAAATTTTTGGTATAGATTCTCAGAACAGGGTAAACGGAAGGAGAAGGGGACTTTTATTGAATACTCGCCCTGTGTTAGTGTAGGCTGGGGCAGAGGGACATAGCAAGAGGAGTAGGAGCTTTGGAGTCAGAGAGACTTTGATTTCACTCTCACGCCATCATTCATTCATTCAACAAATGTTCATCATCAAGTACCTACCTTATGCCAGGTACTGATACATTAGCTCTGGATACAGGAGAAAACAAAACCAATTCCTGCCCTCAGGGAGCTTACATTCTAGCTGGAAAAGGCAGACAGAGAAATTGATAAAATAGAGCACGTAAGATGGTGCTGAGAATCACGGCACGAGATCAAGCAGAGGAGAGGTTTGGCAGTTTGCGGGGAGTGGTCAGGGAAGGCCTCGCTGATGAGGAGGTGTCTTAGCGAAGGTGGAGAGAGGCGGTAGTGGGCGTGGGGGAGCCATGTATGTGCATCTGAGGGCGGATTGTTCCGGGCAGAGGGAGCAGTTAGATCCCAAAGCCTGGAGTTGGGGGCCTGCCTGGGTGTGTGTCAGAAACTGCAAGGGACCAATGGCTGAAGCCGATGGGGTACAGGCGAGAGGAGCAGGCGATGAAGTCGGAGAGGGTGTGGTAGGTGAGAGCCTGCACACCCAGTGAGGACTCTGCTTTTTCCCTCAATGAGACGGGTTTTGAGCAGAGGTGTGACGTGACTTGAGTTAAGTTTTTTGGGTGTTTTTGTTATTGTTGTTGTTGTTGTTTTTGAGACAGAGTCTCACTTTGTTGCCCAGGCTACAGTGAGTGCCGTGGCGTTAGCCTAGCTCACAGCAACCTCCAACTCCTGGGCTCAAGCAATCCTGCTGCCTCAGCCTCCCGAGTAGCTGGGACTACAGGCATGCGCCACCATGCCCGGCTAATTTTTTATATATATATTAGTTGGCCAATTAATTTCTTTCTATTTATAGTAGAGACGGGGTCTCGCTCTTGCTCAGGCTGGTTTCGAACTCCTGACCTCGAGCGATCTGCCCACCTCGGCCTCCCAGAGTGCTAGGATTACAGGCGTGAGCCACCCCGCCCGCCCCTGAGTTAAGTTTTAAAAGGATCAGGCTGGGTGAATCACTAGTTGGCTGACCTTGAGCCAGCAGCTTCATCTCTCTGACTCAGGGCTCCACCTCTTAGGGGTTCAGGGGACCGAATGACAAAGCAGGCACAGACAGTGGGCGTGGCGGGAGGGTGCCTGGGGACGAGAGGGTTCACTCAAGACAGACCATATATGGGATGCCCTGAGCATTCGGATAAGGAGTATAGACCTGATGTAACAGGCAGGCCAGTCGCTGTTTTTGGAGGACACTAACGTTATCGTGGTAGAGGTTTCTATCAGAATGGGGCGAGCTGGGAGGCAGACAGGTAGACGAGGTGTGCGTTGCAGAAAGCCGGGTGTGGGAGATGAGCGTGTGGCTCAGGGTGTGATCACGGGGATGGTGGTAGAGAGACAGATAGAAGGAGCTTCATCTTTTCTGGGTTTTACTCTGTCGTAGCAACTGCTGCAGGATGGGAACGACCCTGACCCCTACGTGAAGATTTACCTCCTTCCTGACCCTCAGAAAACCACTAAGAGGAAAACCAAAGTGGCCCGGAAAACCTGCAACCCTACCTACAACGAGATGGTGTGTGGGCAAACGGTGGGGTAGAGCAGGGGTGGGCAGACGGTGTTTTAGCAGATAAAGTTGTATTGCAACGTGGCCATACTCAGGTGTTGTCTGTGGCTGCTTTCAGGTTGCAATGGCAGAGTTGAGTAGTTGTGACATAGTAAAAATTGTTAGGCTTTCTAAGCCACATAGACTATCTGTCCCTTTAACATAAAAAGGTTTGCCAGCACCTAGGGTTGGGATTCCCCAGCTGGGGCCCGGGCCCTGTCCTGTGGGAAGGAGGAGCCCACTGTCCTGTGCTGAACGTGAGCAGTGGCCGCACTACAAGGCCACACCTGCTTGCACTCTGGGCAGAGAACAGAGTTCACGGACGCTGGCCTTGGATTCTCTTTACCCTCTGTGTCCCTTGGACTCTGTAGGGGCCGGGAGATAAAACGGCGATGGCCCCGGCCAGATCAAGCCACCCCAGACTTGTTTAGCATCTCCCCCTTTCACGTTCCTTCCGGCTCTCACCGCCCCCCTCTCTTTCCGGTGTCCGCGTGCGCAGCTGGTGTACGACGGGGTCCCCAGGGGGGACCTGCAGCAGCGGGAGCTGCAGCTCAGCGTGCTGAGCGAGCAGGGCTTCTGGGAGAACGTCCTGCTCGGCGAGGTGCTCATCCGCCTGCGGGAGCTGGACCTGGCCCAGGAGAAGACCGGCTGGTTCGCGCTGGGGTCTCGAAGCCACGCCACCTTGTGAGCCCTGCGGAGCCACTGCCTAAGGACCCCAGGCTGGTGGTGGCGGGGCTGGGGGGAAGACGCCCCCTTTCCTTGGGAAAGGGCAGGGCCCTCGGCGGGCCTCCCCCTTGGTCCAGATGCACCCGGCCTCCGAGGCAGGAGGCAGGAGAGCAAGATGCTCCCGCTGTCCCTTCGTCTGCAGACCGGACGCGATGGGGCGCTGGCCTGGCCGCGAGCAGCCCCTGGGGGCTGCGAGGTCGCAGCCACGTTTTACGTTCACCTTGTGTCAAGGGAGCAACGCCTGGTGTGGGGCGCGTGGGGGGCTGTGTGAAGTGGCGCTGCGGGGGAGGGCCGGTGGATATCTTTATTTTTATTTTTAAAAAATGAAATAGTAATGTTGTCCTAACTGGGACAGGGAGCCTTGCGAGAAGGGACAGCCCTCTGCCTCAGAAGGCAGGAGAGGATGACTGTTGGGACGTTTTTTGTATGATTAAGGTTCTTATGGGACTTTTCCCTAGGTGTGTTTGGTTGTTTGCTTTCTAGCTATAGGAATTATCTGGGGAGGGGCCCGGGGAGCCCTCGGTCAGAGCCCCCCCTCTCTAAGGGCAGGTGGAGGAGGGGCGGGGAGGGCCGCCCGGCCAGACTGGCCAGACTGGGGCCTGCGCCTGGCTGGGCCTTTCTGAGTTTGCCTCCAAAGGAGGGCGACGTGATACCTGTGATACCTACGTGTGTAAGGAAGGGCCTTCCGTGTGTGCGGGGCTCTGCCCAGGACCTGTGTTCAGGGCCCTGTGCTCTTTTGGGGGGAGTTTTCCTCTTGTCTTCCCCGACTTTATTAGGACTTGCCCTGAATACCGCCTTCCACCCCGTCCCCCCTCCCCATTCTCCGGTCCTTCTGGGGCTCATCTGGCCCCAGTGAATACGCTGGGGTGCTCCCCCACAGCTCCCTCCTTGCGTTTTTCTCTGGCAGGACAAAATGCTGCCTCCGTCCTTAGATCTAGTTTCACCCAAGGGCATCTCGCCTTTGGGAAGGGGGCCCAGGCTGCACGTGCCAGTGTGGCTGCGGGCCCTGTAGTTTCTGGAAAGTGTTCCCCACCACCCCCACTTCTTTTGTGCTGCTTCTCTCCCAAACTCCATTGCTGTCACAGTTTTTATAAGACTTTCCCTCATTCTGTGGGGCCATAAACCTACTTAGTGTGGAGCCAAAGGGATGCCCTGTCTGAAGGAAAGGGGCCTGGGGTGGGAGAATCCATCAGAACTATTGCTTTTTCCAGTGATTCTCTCTGGTCAGGAGGAGGGCGTTCCCCTAGAGCTGAGCTCAGGAGCCGGGAAGGAGAGACTGAGTCTCTTATCTCTTAATACTCTTTATTCCCTACCAGGTGGATTTTAAATTTGCTATGTTGTGTTCTACTCCAAAGGGTTGTCTTCCTTGAAGAAAAAAAAAAAAGAGAGAGAAAGACTTTCAATTTATATTAACTTTTTTAAAACCAGAATTGGCTGGACGTGTCCATGATTGGGGAAAGGAATAAAACAAGAATGTTTTGTAAACTTTCCCCCACCACCCCCAGCTCCCTCCCCAGTTCCAAGGATCAGAAACCCCCTTTTTTGCTGACTCATTCCATAACTGGAGAAAGAAGCTCTATTGATTGACGCTACAGGGCATCAAGGAAGTTTAAATTTTTCTTTTAAGTTAAAAATGCCAAGGATAAGGCTGGCTGCTGTGGGTAGGGGTTGGGGGAGTGGGGGACGGGTGGTGAGACTTTTCCAGATGGTTGGACCATAGATGGGTTACTGGCTTTTTGCCTGTAGCTCGTTTCATTTTGACCCCTCTATGCTCCTGATTTAAAGAGATCCGTGTACTGTTTACTTCCCAACGTCCCAGACTTGTGTCTCCTACTTTCTCTGCAATTGTATTTTCTAATAAATGACATTTGAGAAAAAAAGGAATCTGTCATTTTATTTTTTAAAAACTTTCTTTTATTTCAAAATATTAATGGGGTACAAATGGTTTTTGTTACATGGACACACTAACAAATAAATGACTGGCATAGACAATATAGGGGCACTCTACAGTATGCCCGTACCACATAGAGAGACAAGATGTAATCGATGAGTAAAAAACAACGAAAGGAGGATAAAGATTATCATATACACACCATCACAACCCACCCTATCACATCACTATCAAACTCCCTTATATATACTAATATAAGATTAAATCAAATATAACGTCACTGATATGCATACTCTATGTGAACCTAAAGTCCCATCAGATTATTAAAACATCACACAACTTAATATTAAAAGAGAAAAGTAGAATATAGGAAGATAGAAATTATATATATTACAAACATATCCTGAAGCACAACAATTTAACACATATATAGGATCACAGTCTCCAGTTCCATCCAAGTTGCTGCAGAAACTGTCATTTTAAAGTCGGTTGAGCTTTGCGCAGTAGCACCGCCGTAGCCAATGAGGTTTATCCAAGGCGAGATTATTGCTGATTGAAAGATTGGCTGATGTTTAAACGTATAGAGGAAGGCCGGGCGCGGTGGCTCACTCCTGTAATCCTAGCACTCTGGGAGGCTGAGGCAGGAGGATCGCTCAAGTTCAGGAGTTCGAAACCAGCCTGAGCAACAGCGAGACCCTCGTCTCTACTATAAATGGAAAGAAATTAATTGGCCAACTAAAAATATATACAAAAAATTAGCCGGGCATGGTGGCGCATGCCTGCTACTCGGGAGGCTGAGCAGGAGATCGCTTGAGCCCAGGAGTTTGAGGTTGCTGTGAGCTAGGCTGACGCCACGGCACTCACTGTAGCCTGGGCAACAAAGCGAGACTCTGTCTCAAAAAAAAAAAAAAATAATATAATCCCTTAAGTTAGTATAATATTTGATAGTTTTTAGAGTGCTTTCCTATATATGATGTCATTTTTCATTACAACTACCCTGAAAGTAGGTATGGTTCATTCATGAATTCTGTCGACAAGCATTTAACAGTGCTACCCAGTGGCATGCCCCCATTCTCAAAGGATACAGTGTAGGGGATGCGTCCCAGGCAGTGCACCAGGCCCTGTACTAGGCACTGTATTGGGGAGGGGAAGTTACAAAAATAAATGAAGGCAATTTCTGCATTTAAGAAGTTTGGGGGCCAGGCATGGTGGCTCACAGCTGTAATCCTAGCACTTTGAGAGGCTGAGGCAGGAGGATCGCTTGAGCCCAGGAGTTTGAGGTTGCTGTGAGCTAGGCTGACGCCACTGCACTCTACCCAGGGCAACAGAGTAAGAGCCTGTCTCCAAAAAAAAAGTTTGCTACCGAGTGATATTTAACCAACAACATTTTATAAGAGAAAAACCGAAACTCTTGGGGCATACACAACTATCAAGCCATCAGAGCATAACCGTAGCCCAGAAGTAACCTCCCCCCCCCACAAATGGAAGGTGGAAGCAATGTGACCTTCATTCAAACATTTTACCCACAAGTTTTCAAAACTCTCCAGTGGGGAGTCAGATTTCATGCTAGGGAGTTTTGTAGTGCTTTCAAGGGACTTTTCAGTAGTAAACAGTAGGAAATGTTATCCGCTGTATTTCTAAGTGGTTTTGAGGTGTCATTGCAATTCTGGACAAGTCCCCGTGGACTTTTTAAAAGTTGGAACTTGAATCTGGCAAGAGCCTTAGTTAAGGAGATTTCTCGGCCAAATGGGGTAGAAATCCGAAGCCCCCTGAGGGAGTGGGAAGGAGAGAGCTGGGGCATGGGGAAGAGAGGGGTTGCCTGGGGAGAAGGGAAACAAAAGAAGCCCAGGAGGCCTGGTTCTCTGAGTTCAAAGAGAGGTGGCAAAAATGAAGTAGCCAACTTGCTGGGATTTGGGGGGCCAAGATGAGATTGTATTTGAAAGGTGAAAAGTGAGGCAGCATTTTACGTTGGGAGGGTATGGTCTGGTGGCTGGGACTTGTCTGAGGGGTCTGATCAATTCGACACTAGTGGCCAACTGTGGGTTAGGCCCTGTGGCTACTCAGATAACAGAGGCGTGGATCCTGTCTTCAAGAAACAGTCTAGCCAGGCAGACATGGCAACGAAACACAGTGGTGCAGAGTGGCATGGACAGGTGGCAGAGTGGAAGGGAGGGGCGGGCAGGGTGGGTTTCAGAGGAGGTATTGGAAGTGGGTTTTGAAGTCAATCAGAATTGCAGATTTTATCCTTAATGTCATGGGGACACCATTAGAGGGTCATGGGAAAGAACTGCAATGCTCCAATTTTGTTTTAAGAGATCATTCTGGCTTCTATTTGAAGCAGAAGAGAAGGCTATTGCAGTAGTCTAGGAGGGAAATGAGTCTAGGTGGTTGGGGATGGTGGAGGTGGTCAAATTCTGGGTAGAGCTGACAGAATTTGCTGATGGATTGCATATGGATGGCATTGAGGGAAAGCAGAGCTGAGGATGACTCCTAAGTCTGGGGCCTCAGCAGTGGGTGAAGAGTACTATGGAGGCCAGTTGCGGTGGCTCACGCCTGCGATCCTAGCACTCTGGGAGGCCGAGGTGGGAGGATTACTTGAGCTCAGGAGTTCGAGACCAGTCTGAGCAAGAGCGAGACCCCATCTCTACTGTAAATAGAAAGGAATTAGCCAAACAACTAAAAATTAAAAAAAAAAATTAGCCGGGCATGGTGGCGCATGCCTGTAGTCCCAGCTACTTGGGAGGCTGAGGCAGGAGGATTGCTTTGAGCAATCCAGGAATCTGAGGTTGCTGTGAGCTAGGCTGATGCCACGGCACTCTAGCTCACCCAACACAGTGAGACACTGTCTCAAAAAAAAAAAAAAAAAAAAGAGTACCCTGGAGGTATTACTGGGATGGGGAAGGTGGGTTCAGGGGATGTGAATCAAAACTTCTGTTTTGGTCATGATAAGTTTGAGATGTCTGATAGACTCCCACATGGAGAAGTAGTAGAATGGAATCTGAAGCCCAAGGGAGAGGTCAGTCTAGAAGATTAGATATGGAAGTCATCAGCATTTAGGTGGCATTTAATTCCATGGAACTGGATGAGATCACCTAGGTTAGAGAGGCTAGAAAAACAGATGTGGTGCATTGAGGCCAACATTTAGAGGAGGAGCAGCCGCTGAAATTACTATAGGAGAAGCAGATGAATGTGTCTTGGGGACCTAAAGAAAAGAAGTATGGTCAGTTTCCTAGGGCTGCCATGACAAAGTATCACAGATCCAGTAGCTTAAACAACGGATACTTAAAAACCTAGAGAGAGATTTGAGGCCGAGGCGCGTATTGCTCGAGGTCCTTTGAGTTCGAGACCAGCCTTGAGCAATTGAGCAATGACCCGTCTCTACTCATAAATTCTGAAATTATCTGGCCAACTCAATATATATTATCTGCCTTTCTTACTAAATAGTTAGCCGCTTCGGGCGTGGTGGCGCATGCCTCTAGTCCCCAGCTACTCGGTCTGATGCATGAGGCAGCTAGTGATTGCTTGAGCCAGGACTTTTGAGTGCCTGTGAGCTATTCGGCTTGACGCCTACGCTGCCACTTCACTCTAGCCTGCATACAAAGCGAGACTTCTTCTGTTCTCATAAAAACAAAAATTATCAAAAAGCTAATATAAAAACAGTCTGGAATCACATATCCTTATCTGCATCTGCATTATTCGTTTGCCAGATCACACACTCCCCCTACGACCTTCTAGAAACTCACATCGT